TATGTCTGATGTGGGGTCAACTACTCTGTGTTTTATTTTTTTAAATTAAGACTTAATATGCACGCCACAGCCACCCTTTCAATTATAAAATATTTAAGTTTTCCTTTCTTCAAGAAAATATATTTACCTTGGGAGACAACCTCAAAGTCCCAGCTGGTCAAGCACTGAGCTAAAATTCTAAACTATTGGTTATCTGCACTCTACACGGCCAGTATACGGTGGTGAAATTGGAACAGGAAAACTGCAGGAGACATTTCCATTCAGAAAGGGAAGAATAAAGTCATGGCCTAACAATTATGAAATGTCATTGGGGCCACCGTCTGAGGGCCCTTCCCCTAAGAGAGGGGAGTAATCTTCGTAAGGCTGATAGGGAAGGACTCTCAAATCCATTGTTTTTCTTGACCTTCAGCCCACCCCTGATTTGCTGATGCAGTTACCTTTTACTTCTGCTTTCAAACTGGCTTTTATTTTTTTTAACCTTGACAAATGCAACCAGTAAACCATGGTACTAAGATTCTATTTTCTAAGCTTTTCACCAAGGGCTTCAAACTTAGTACATTTCCTGCCTTCTAAGTTATCACAAGTGACAGTTTTAACAGAAGTATTAGCTTCCTTCTAGGCTCCAACTTCAGTTCCCCCAGGCTCTTTCCTGTCTGAATAACAACTTGTGTTTTGATTCTTTTTTTTTTAAATATATATTTTATTGATTTTTTACAGAGAGGAAGGGATAGGAATAGAGAACTAGAAACATTGATGAGAGAGGAACATCAACCAGCTGCCTCCTGCACACCGCCTACTGGGGATGTGCCCGCAACCAATGTACATGCCCTTGACCGGAATGGAACCTGGGACCTCTCAGTCCGAAGGTTTTATCCATTGAGCCAAACCAGTTTTGGCTAATTCTCTCCTTTTCTCCCTCAACTCCTATAAATCCAATCTGTAGATCCTACCAATGAATTCCACCAATTTTGTTACTATTAGATTTTTTAAAATTTTGAAACACACAAAGCGTTTTGCCTTTGTGTGTAAGTGCAATCCTAACATATCTTTGAGATATTTCACAGATGAAGAAACAAAAGCATAGAGAACTGAAGCAACTTGCTCAAGACACAAAACTATTAAATGGCAGAACTGGGATTAAAATTCCTAGTTCATGTACTTAAATCAACTATACTCTGACCTGAACCAGTCCCTGGAATTTTGTTTGTTTGGACTGCCATGATGAATACCTGTACTTCCTGAATACACTCTTAGTGCACCAGCAGGCAGTTCAATATTTCTTTTAAGATATTTTTTTCTCTTGATTTCAGAAAGGAAGAGAAAGGGAGAGAGAGTGAGAAACATCAATGATGAGACAGAATTATCAGATCGGCTGCCTTCTTGCATACCCCTTTCTGGGGATTGAGCCTACAACTTGGGCATGTGCCCTGACCCCTGATCAGGAATCAAACCATGACCCCTTGGTTCATAGGTCAATGCTCAAATCATTGAACAACACCGGCCAGGTAACCTTAGAAGGTTTTGGGGTTTTTTTTCCCAGTAGGAGTTTTTTTTTATTTTTTTTTCAGGTCTTAGCATGCCATCTAAAACAACTGCCCAACTATTTCTAAACACCCTGAATGCTTGTCATGCAGAGTAAAAGGTAATGTGCTGCTAATCCCTGACCCTGTCATACTCCCAGTATTACCGGTAAGGGGACCTGGCTATGAATGGGTCTGCCTAGGGCCAGCCGGCAGTGTATGGGTTCTTGACTTTGTGCAGGAAAAATTTCACATGAGTCCAGGTGAATTTTAGAGGACATTTATTAAAGCTGCATAAAGAGAAACAAGAAAGGGCTGGGGAAATAAGTCTAGGCTAGTCTGCTTTGGCTCACAAAGTCAGAGAAAAGGGGGCCTGGTTCAGGGGGGTTTTCCAGGACGAACTGCTGCTGTCCATTATTGCCTGGGTTACAAGCATTCTGGGGTCCTGTAAAGTTTAGGAGATGCATGCCTGTGAGGGAAGGAAGGGATGGGGGGGTGTGGGAGTGCTCCTGGGAAGGAGAGCACACTAGACCTTCATTTTGAGGGGTTCTATTTATTTTTATTTTTAAATCCTCGCAGAGGATATTTTCCCATTGATTTTTATTTATTTTTAAGTATATACTTTTTATTGATTCGGAGAGGAAGGGAAAGGGAGAGAGAGAGAGAGAGAAACATCAATGATGAGAGAAAATCATTGATCACCTGCCTCCTGTAAGTTCCAACACTAGGGATCAAGCCGTAACTCTGGCCATGTGCCCTGACTGGGAATCAAACCATAACCTCTTGGTTCATAGGTTGACCCTCAACCACCGAGTCACACCGGGTGGGCCATTTACTCTGAAGTGTCCCTGGTTTAGGGAATATTGTATTTATTAGATGGCTGCAAATTGCTGTTTATTGCTTTCGTTTTCCTTATTCCACTAGTCCTGACTTACTGGCCTATCTCACCAATATTAGGTATTATTGATAAGTTTTTTTTCTCTTTCTCCCTTTTAGATATAGACAGTTTCTTTTATTTCTGTTTTTACAGAAAAAAGGGGTCATACTAGTCAATTTTGCACCTGGATTTTTTCTCAGCACTCTTTCCACATTAGCATAAAGGGATAAGCTTTGTGGACTAAAAGGGCCACATGCTGATCTGACAAGCTCAGAGAAGACCTGCATGTCAGCCTTGCAAACTCAAAGACCTAAAGTAACCACAAAGCATGGCCTGAAATGAAACTTGAACTAAAAGCAGTTATGGTGGGTAGTTACGTCCTAGGCCGGTGTCTTCACTGACAAGGTCAACCTTTACCTTAACTGACCCTATCTTGTCTTTTAGCATCTATGATAACATATCCTTGAAATGTCTGAGTAACTTGTAACTTCCCTTTTTCCAAACCCCTTGAGCACAACTTCATGTGCCAGGGCCTCAGGCATTGTGATTGTTATCTGTTATTGTTGTGTTGACTGTTAATTATCCTCTAAGTAAGTGTCTATCATTTTACTCTTTATTCAACCCCAGAGGTTTCCCAACTTTGCTTTCTCCTGTCTTTCTTTCTCTTAGGGGGGAAAAAAAAAAAAAATTTTTTTTCCACAGAGAGGAAGGGAGAGGGATAGAGAGGTAGAAACATCGATGAGAAAGAAACATCGACCAACTGCCTCCTGCACAACCCCCACTGGGGATGTGCCCCAAACCAAGGCACATGCCCTTGACCAGAATCAAATCCGGACCTTTCAGTTCACAGGCCAACACCCTATCCACTGAGCCAAACCGGCTTCAGCTTTCCTGCCTCTCTATCACCAATGGATTTCATGTAATCCACCTGTGTCTCCTCCTTTGATAGTAATATATAAAAATAGATGAAAAACTGCCATTTTCTGCAGCATTATTCTAATCCATTGAAATTCTGCTTCCCGGCAGTTATCAAGTTTGGCTCAAACTCACAACAATTCTTTAGAGATTTAAATGTTTTGTTTTTAAAAAATATCTTATTGATTTTTTTATAGAGAAGAAGGGAGAGGAATAGAGAGTTAGAAACATCAGTGAGAAAGAATCATCAATCAGCTGCCTCCTGCACACCCCCTACCGGAAAAGTGCCCGCAATCAAGGTACATGCCCTTGACTGGAATCGAGCCTGGGACCTTTCAGTCCACAGGCTGACGCTCTATCCACTGAACCAAACTGGTCGGGGCTAGAGGTTTAAATGTTTTTATGTTAACAACTTCATTTTTAAAACATATCCTATTATTTATGGGATTTTAGTTTTAGTTGTTTGGGCATAGGATGCCGCAATGGACATCCTTCACATTGTTTGTTTTAACTCAGTAGTGGCTACAGATTTTGATAAAGCCCTCCAAGTTACATTCCTATTAAGCCAGTTTGAAAATTTAGTATAAAAAAAACAATGCAAAAGAAAGAACTTGTGTTCTGTCACCTAGGACCACAGATCTAACTTTTCTGAGCTTCCTTTTTTCACTGTAAAGTGAGGTATAAGCTTTCCTCTCCAAGTGGTCGTGAGAGTCGCTTCCGTAAAGGCCTGCCTCCAGAAGAGGCCTTTTAGTTTGAGCGTGCTTCTGGGCACTGGCCAAAAGCTCGGGATGAATAGATTTGAGAAGCCTCTCACTCGACTTGTAGATGAAGAAACGGAGGCACCAAGAGCACCAGAGGTTTGGTCTTCTAGGCTCGCCTAGACCACACAGTGTTGGCGGCAAAGCTAGCTCTGGCTCAAGTCACACACACACTTGAGCACATTCCTCACTCGCTTTGATTCCACCTCAGCCCCTGAGCAGCTGGGTGGGGAAGGAGTCATCCCTGAAAACTAGAGGCAGCTACTGCCGGCGTCAGTCTCGGCCCCAACCGGAGGTGGGAGGGCGCTCGCGGGCCGTGGGACTCCGGGACCCCGCATCCTCCCTCCCTGCCTGGCCGCAGACTGTGTGCATCCTCAGAATTCGCTTTTTGCTCCCCCTGAAAGCGAATCGGATGCGTGTGTAGAGAGCAGATGGGGATTGTATAACCCTGTCACATGCATGTACTGAGTAGAGTACACATCCTTCCTTTTAGACGTGTGAAACGTGTACGGCGCGGCGCACAGACGTGGGGGATTCACGGAATACATGTCTCCCCGTCCCAGCCCTTCCAGACGGTGCCGCCAGGCCCCTAGCCCGTCCCAGCAGCTAATCCGGAGTGTGCGCATGCGCAACTCCACCTTAGACTCCGCCCCTGCCGCGTAGCCCCGCCCTCACTGCACTTTACGGCCGCGCACGCCACTTTTACGGCAGACGCTGCCGCTGTCGCCGCTGCCCCTACTACCGCGGCTGCTGCTGGTGAAGTGAGGTGAGGTGCGGTGTTGGGCCGGTGTCGCCGGCGGCCGGGGAGGAATTGGGGAGCAGGACGGCCGAGGGACGGCCGGGACGACGGGTTAGCTGCTGCTTTGTCCTCAGCTCCGGTCCCGTCTGCGCTGCCGCAGGGAGGCCGCCCCGGCCCGGCGAGCCGAACCAATGCTGGATCTGGAGGTGGTGCCTGAGCGCTCTCTGGGGAACGAGCAATGGGAATTCACGCTGGGTAAGTGTGGGGTCCTCCCTCAGGACCCTGTTCTCTTGGTTCTTATTTCCCTCCGGGGCCCTTCCCGCCTCTGGTCTCTGCCCCTCACTGCCTAGTGCCCGCGGCTTGTCTGTCGCCTCTTCCGTCCTCTTGGCTTTTGGGGCTCCAGGCATTAGATACCCGCTCCGACCGGCCGGACCCGCCCTTCTTTGGCTCGGCTGGGCCCAGACGCCCTCGCCTCAGGCCCTAACCCGGCCCCTCCCGGGACGGTGGTGCGATAGTAATAATAATAACAATGACCGACACGCCCCAAACACTGAAGACTAGCTCTGTCTTGTGATGCGTAATTATCTCCAGTCGGCCTTCTGGGGGCCTAAGGGTCGCTACTGGTGTTATTCCTAGTCGCCATTTACTGACGAAATAGTTGAGAAGTGACTGACACTCCTAAATGCCACAACAGGGTGTCTCCCTTTGCTTTTCTGGTCTGTGAGTCCCCTCTTCGAAAGGGGAAAACTAGCCCACCCTCCCCCAATCCCTTAATCTGGTGTTGGGAATCTGGTCACAGGAGTTGGTTGAGGAGAGTCTGTGTGTTAAAGGAACTTTTCTGACTTGTTTCCTTCTCTCTCTCTTTTTTTTTTTTTTTTTTTTTAATGTGGTCGATGTGACGAGGTAATCCTAAACCCAGATCTCCGCTGAGAATGAAAAATAGGAGTTCAGGAAAAGTAACATTTAGTTTGTAGAACATTCAGTCTGGTCGTTTTTGGATTGTTGTGTGTTGGGGTTTTTTTGTTTGTTTTTGTTTTGTTTTTTGACCCAGTTTTCCTCATGCCCAATGCCACTGCCTTTATGTGTACAAATATTTGCATCCAGTAACCCCAGGGTGTGTTTACTTTGATGTTCCAGCACTAGGAAAAGGGGTGGGGAGCAGGTGCTGGTGCTGTTTGTTTGTGCAGGCCTGAACTTTTGTCACACTAATTTGAGCTGCTGGACTGAGTCAGCTGCTCTGTTGGGCTATAACTTATCCTTGAATCTGGAAGACGCACATCTGTGGAGACACAGGGTACATGAGAAACTGGTAGGGCCCTGCTGGTGTGAACTACAAACCTCTGGATTGTAGGAGCCAGTTTTTTTATTTTTTTATTTTATTGATTTTTTTTTTTTACAGGGAGGAAGAGAGAGGGACAGAGAGCTAGAAACATCAATGAGAGAGAATCATCAATCAGCTGCCCCCTGCACACCCCCCACAGGAGTTGTGCCCGCAACCAAGGCACATGCCCCTAACTGGAATCAAACCCGGGACCCTCCAGTCCGCAGGCCCATGCTCTATCCACTGAGCCAAACTGGTTTTGGCCGAACCAGGCAATTCTTAATTCAAGTCACCACAACCTTGAAATGTAATCTCCATTTGACAGCTGAGGCTCAGAAAGGTAGAGATGATAAAAAAGTAGGGGACAGGGATTTTTTGCTCCCACTGCTCTACCCTTCTGAGGATAGGCTCAGTTTTATTTCTAGGTTTCTTTTTGGACTCTGTGCTAATGCAAATGTATCTAGACCTTGCCATTATCTGCCTGGCATCATAATGGGGAGCTGCATCCAGCTTCTTGGCTGCTTTCCTGGCCTTTGTTTGATGGGAGATTAGAGAAATGCCAACATCACAGTGACAGGAAAACCTAGGCCACGAGGAATCTCGGAGAATGCCACTGGTGGCTTGATCAGTGGTGGAGTAAAGGCAGTGCAAATTTGAGGTGCTTTCAGTGACATTTGCAGAATGCATTGGTGTGGAGGCATGTCTGAATTTGTTTTTTAAATTTGTGTTAAAGCCCTGGCCAAGTAGCTCAGTTGGTTAGAGTGTCTGGGTCTCTGGTTAGGGCACATAAATAAGTGGAACAACAAATCAATGTCAATGTGTGTATCTTTCTCTTTCCCTCTCTCTCTTTCCTTCCTCTCAAATCAATAATTTAAATTTTTTAAATAAGTGTTGAAAATGCCCAAAGAGGGTAGATTTAAAGGGTCACTAGAGAAGAGCCTTCTCTGAGATAATCTTGTTCCAGGGAGACTGAATGCTCACTTTGTTGAAGGCAGCATGCACCTCTGGACTCTGCTTACAAACATTGAAAATTGAATAAGAAATGGACATATGCTCTGAATAGCTTAGTCTAGTGGGAAGGAAAGATTACAGAAATAGTGTGTTTTATTGTAATGGGGTAGAAGTTGTACAGGTTGCTATGGAAGGAGAGAAGACACTTGATCTGCGAAGTTCAGGGCGGAGGCTTCCTGTAAAAAATCAACAGGAGCCAAGACTGGTTTGGCTCAGTGGATAGAGCATCGGCCTGCAGACTGAAAGGTCCCTAGTTCGATTCCAGTCAAGGGCATGTACCTTGGTTATGGACACATCCCCGTTGGGGGGTGTGCAGGAGACAGCTGGTCGATGATTCTTTCTCATCGATGTTTCTAACTCTCTATCCCTCTCTCTTCCTCTCTGTAAAAAATCAATAAAATATAAAAAAAAAAAAAAAAGAAAAAGAAAGAAAGAAAATGAACAGGTGCCCAGCCAGTGTGGCTCAGTAATTGAGTATTGACCTAGGAACCAGGAGGTCCCAGCTCGATTCTCTATCAGGGCACATGCCTGGGTTGCAAGCTTGATTCCCCAGTGTGGGGTGTTCAGGAGTCAGCTGATTAATAATTCTATCTCATCATTGATGTTTCTGTCTCTCTCTCCCTTCCTCTCTGAAATTAAAATATATATATATATATATTTTTTTTTTTTTTTTATTTTTTTTTATTTTTTTTTTTTAAACAACAACAACAACAACACACACATACAAAAAAAAATTACAGGAGCCGGTACTATTCCTGGAGCAGCTAACATCAGGAGGACCCTAGCAGAAGGCTACTGCCAGATTTCTTATCCAAACTGTCCATACGTATAAATCTTCCAACCAAGTTAAAACAAAAACAATGGGCCCGACCCATGTGTTTCATCAACCTATGAACCAGGAGGTGCCACAGATCACTTCTGGTCAGGGTACATGCCAGCGTTGTGGGCTCTATCCCCAGTAGGGGGTCTACAGGAGGCAGTCAACCAATGATTCTTTCTCTTCATTGATATTTTTCTCTCTCCCTTCCTCTCTAAAGTCAATAAAAATATGTTTAAAAAAACCACAATGGGAAAGGTAGATGGTATGTAAGGAACCATAAGCAATTGGATATTATAATTAGAGCACGATGTATAACTGGAAGAAAATAGGTTCCCTAGATTCCCAATTCTCTTTTGTAGTAGCTGCCTGGGACACTACCAAGGAGTCTCTGGGTTTGCTGGAAAAGAGGATAGATACCTGGAGTAAAGTTTGTTATGGAATGGGTTTAGAGACTAGGATTTTGAAATATGGAGAAGGATGAGGATTCTAAAGGTTCTGGTTTGAATGACGATAGATGTAGAGGTCAGAATGTAGAAGAGAAGCTAGATATCAGAGTTGAATAACACACATACTGTCCTTGCACTCATAAAGCTATGTCTTTGTTTCTGGATTGTCTGGGACTTTGTTTTAAATTGCCTGTGTGTGTATCTTCTTGTTTGAAATATAATGTGTCTTTTTGTTTGAAAACATAATTTTTTGTGTTCCCTGCGAGTTCCTGAAACTTTTTAAAAAATATATTTTATTGATTTTTTTTTACAGAGAGGAAGGGAGAGAGATAGAGAGTTAGAAACATTGATGAGAGAGAAACATCCATCAGCTGCCTCCTACACACCCCTTACTGGGATGTGCCTGCAACCAAGGTAACATGCCCTTGACCGGAATCTGGGACCTTTTAGTCTGCAGGCTGACACTCTATCTACTGAGCCAAACCGGTTTCGGCAAGTTCCTGGAACTTTTAAGAGGCCATTGGAATTGGGATTTTTTATTTATTATTTTTTTATTGGGGTTTTTTAACAGGAGCATATATAAGTATTTATAATGGGCCATCAGTTCACAGATCAAGTGTTAAGATTTAGAAGATATTGCCAAAACCGGTTTGGCTCAGTGGATAGAGCGTCAGACTGAAGTGTCCCAGGTTAATTCTGGTCAAGGGCATGTACCTTGGTTGTGGGCTCATCTCCAGTAGGGGGTGTGCAAGAGGCAGCTGATCGATGATTCTCTCTCATCGATGTTTCTAACTCTCTATCCCTCTCTCTTCCTCTCTGTAAAAAAATCAATAAAATATATATTTAAAAAAAAAAGATTTAGAAGATATTTATGAGTAGGTAAATTAGAATCCAGTAAAAATCCTTAGTAAAATAAATTGATTCTGGTGTGTGATTTTTTAACTCTTAATGAGCCCCTACAAATAATGTGTTTCTGCAGACACTTCTCATTTGAGAAATGAGTCAGATGCCACAACGGAAGAGAGGAAAGAACTTTCCTAGGTAGACGTAGTCCATGGTACAGTGAGAACCAGGCCTCAGTCTCCAGAGTTATACAGACAGTGCTTTCTCACTCTGGGTTCATGCTGACTTTGCCTTCTCAAAGAAAGCTCTTTGCTTGGGATCAGCACAAAAGTCCCCATTTATGTATTAACCCCTTTTATACAATTCAGCTATTCTCTTAGTGCTCTCTGCTAACTTTATTCTAGCTCTTATTGCTTATTGAACTTGGAACTTAGTCTTATTTCTGTAAACCTTAGTGATACTGACCCCAGACTTTACTGCAGGCACCAATGTTAGTAAATGGACAACCAAGTAACCCACACAGGTGTCCTTGCTTTATTTCAGGAATGCCTCTGGCTCAGGCAGTAGCCATTCTTCAGAAGCACTGTCGCATCATCAAAAATGTCCAGGTTCTCTACAGTGATCAGGTGAGTAGTAGCTGATTTGTTTACTGAAATAACATCCCTAATCAGTGAGTCATCCCCAGAGTTTGGTGGTTTGGGAGGGGCTGACTCGCAGGGATTGTTGGGGCAGTGTATTCCAATAGGAAACTCGTCAGTTATCAAGCACTTTTTTTTTTTTTAATTCTAAAACTTTTGGTCTTGATAACTTGGTGCTGTCAGATTTTGAGGAGCAGCAATAACTGAACGTGTGTGTGTGTGTGTGTGTGTCCATCTGTCCCTAAACAGAGATTTTTCAGTGGGAGGTCACCTCAGACTATCTGGTCTTCTGGGGTACTTGCTTTCCATTTATTATTTCTTGTCCAATTTATTGTAGTCTCTATTAAATGTTGGTCAATTGTGCCAGGAATTAACCCCATAGTATAATGTTGCATGTACCTACAAAGACCTTTTTAGCCCAACTGGCATGGCTCAGTGGTTGAGCCTTGTCTTATGAACCAGGAAATCACAGTTCCATTCCTGGTCAGGGCACATGCGTGGGTTATGGGCTTGATCCCCAGTGTGATATGTGCAGGAGGCAACCTATCACTGATTCTTTCTTATCATTGACTGGAGTCTGGCCTAGTTCTCGGAATTTGTGCACTCGGTAGTGGGGAGAGGGGAAGTCCCTCAGCTCGGCTTGCACCCTCTCATAGTCCGGGAACCCTCGGAGGATGTCCCACTGACGGCTTAGCCCGGAGGGGAGTGGGCCTAAGCCTGCAGTCAGACATCTTAATGCTGCCTTAGAGGTGGGAGGGGCTCCTGCCGCTGCCACCGCGCTTGCTAGCCATGAGCCTGGCTTCTGGATGAGCCATGTTCACCCTATGAGAGCCCACTGACCACCAAGGGGCAGCTCCTGCCTTGAGCATCTGCCCCCTGGTGGTCGGTGCACATCTTAATAGTTGCTCTGCTGTTCGGTCAAGTTGCATATTAGCCTTTTATTATATAGGATAGGATTATATAGGATGTTTCTCACTTCCTCTCTAAAATCACTAAAAATATTTTTAAAACAAACAAACCAACTTTTTTAGTTTCCAGTAAGAGTATGCTTAAGTTAGCACCAAAGAAGAATTTTTTGAACATCAGAATTTTAAAAATATTTGATTTTTTAAGTATGTAAACTTACAAGCTATTTTTCATAGGCCTTTAGAAATAGTATTTTTCCATCTCTCTAAAGTTACAATTTCCCTTCCACTGACTTTTTTGAAATCTGTGATTCTTCTAAGACAGACCATGTACAGCAACCTTTGTGGTACTGTATGTGTCACAAACCTCAGGGAATAGTTTTGCTCCTATACAGGCTACAGGCTGTCCTTAAGTGGCTTTTCTGAGGCCATTTAAGTACCAATATGATTATTTTAGTTGCATTTTTTTTTCCCAATTAGTTTCAGATCCTAAAGCAAGTGACAGATTATTTTTGGCATGAAGGATTAGAAGTGGATACGATTTCTGTGCGGTTTCTCAGTTTTACTTTAGTGTCAGAGATGAGCCTGTCACCTATACTGAGAAATTAGGTTCATACTGTTTGTACCCCTCTGCATCTTCAAACAAGTGCTTGGATATTCTTATGGTATTACCACAGAACAAGGGACTTGTAGGAGTGGACAGAGGCTTTTTGAACAACAGAGTCAAAGTGACCTGTCATTTATAAAGTGAAGAATAGTAGCTTTTCCTCTTTGTTCCAGGTCATTCATAACCTAATCTGACTTTCAGTGTTAGACCATGAGGGAATTACAAGTAGCAGGCATCAAAATGGGAAGCAGCTTAAGAAAATTGGCTTGCCTTAACTGGTTTTGCTCAGTGGATATAGCCTTAGCCTGGAGACTGAAGGGTCCTGAGTTCGATTCTGGTCAAGGGCTCATGCCCAGGTTTCAAGCTTGCTCCTCAGTGAGGGGCATGCAGGAGGCAGCTGATCAATGATTCTCTCTCATCATTGATATTTCTCTCTCTCTTTCCCTCTTCCTCTCTGAAATCAATAAAAATATATTTGGGGGAGGGGTGAAAAGGAAATTGGCTTCTTGAACTTAAAAGTAATTTGCAGACTTAGTTTAATCAAATTTTGGGCACCCCAAGATTAGATGCATTTGAAAATAGGCTTTCTTTCTTTTTATTTAAATATTTTTTTTTATTATTTGAGAGAGAAGAAAACATCGATTGGCTGCATCCTGCATGCCTCCCATTGGGGATCAAGCCCAAAACCTAGACCTAGGCATATGCCTTGACTGGGAATCAAACCATGACCCTCTGATTCATAGGTCAGACCATAGGGCTCAACCTCTAACTTTATTGTCAGTCCATTTTTGGAGTACAAATAGTAGTTTTAGCATTAAACTAATTTTCCCCAATATTGCTTAACCAACTAGAATCAGAAAACATGGATTTAATAATTAGTCTGGTTTTCCTTCTGTGAAGTGGATATAGTTTCCTTATGATGGAATAATCTTTTGATGAGGATCAAGAGGAGTGATCTCTCAGAGCTCTGATATAGTGCTTCTTGCATGTGGTCCTTTCCACTTCTGCCTTCCTCCTATTGATTTTTTTTTTTACAGAAAGGAAGAGAGGGGGGGAGAGAGTCAGAAATATCGATGAGAGAGAAACATCAATCAGCTGTCTCCTGCGCACCTCCCACTGGGGATATGCCCGAAAACAAGGCACACGTCCTTGACCAAAATCGATCCTGGGACCCTTGAGTCTGCAGGCCGACACTCTATCCACTGAGCCAAACCAGCTAGGGCACACCTTGGAAGTTTAATGTGCATATCAAGTAGCCCCATTTTTCTTAGAGAGAGAGAGGATGTTATCAACTTGCAACAGACAGCTTTACTGAACTGTTTCATATGGAGGACTGAATAGTGCCTGCTTAAGCACCACATAGCATGTATGCTTTTTTTGTTCTGGAGATATAAAGTACTAATAAAATATTGTGAAGATGAATTATTTGCTTCCTTTTAAAAATTGCTCAGTTGCACAAACAATTCTTTTTACATTTTTATTTATTTATTTTGCTTAGTTATGTCCTGCGTTGTAATAATGCCAGGAAGAAAATGATCAGTTCTTGGGATAGTATAAGAAAATCCAGATCCTCCCAGCACTCTTCCTCTAATCGTGGATCTTGAAAGATGTTAAAATGTTGCTTCATCCTGCTTCCCCTATGGACTGGCCCTCTCAGAAATGGAACTGTGTGTTCTAGGTTCAGAACAAGGTCAGGATTCATAAGTCCATTATCTTGTCTTGCTTGAGACCTAATGGTTTAGGCATTCATACAGCATTCTTCTAATGTTTGCCAGGCATGATGGTGCCACCATGTCCTGCTACTTGTAAAGATCAACGGGGTGTAGGGGAGCAGTCTGTGCTGATCACAGAAGGCTCTTGGGAGATAATTTTTCTGCTGAGACCTATACCAGCAGTGGCACAGTCTTTCTCTCTCAGACAGCCACACTTCTGTCATTCACTGCCTACTTTGAGACGCTTTATAAAGAAACTTGTCTAACCCTGACCGGTTTGGCTCAGTGGATAGAGTGTGAGCCTGCAGACTGAAGGGTCCCAGGTTCTTCCGTCAAGGGCGTGTATCTTGGATTGCGGGCACATCCTCAGTAGGAATGTGCAGGAGGCAGCTGATTGATGTTTCTCTCTCATCATGTTGCTAACTTTTTTTTTTTTTTTTTAATATGTTTTATTGATTTTTTACAGAGAGGAAGGGAGAGGGAGAGAGAGTTAGAAACATCGACCAGCTGCCTCCTGCACACCCCCTACCGGGGATGTGCCTGCAACCAATGTACATGCCCTTGACCGGAATCTAACCTAGGACCCCTCAGTCCGCTCTACCACTGAGCCAAACCGGTTTCGGTGATGTTTCTAACTCTTTATCTCTCTCCCTTCCTCTCTAAAAAATCAATAAAATATATATTTTTTAGAAAAGAAACTTCTCTAAATCCTTTTGAGAACTGTGTGTCAATTTCAAGAAAGGGTAGCGTTTTGGATGGTCCTATTTTTCTTTTGCTGGCCAATCTGGTTAGGGCCATGGAGAGTCTATTTCTTCTTGGAAAGGAATGTGAAGAACAGTATTAACTTTTTTTTAATATATATTTTATTGATTTTTCACATAAGAGAAGAGAGAGGAATAGAGAGTTAGAAACATCTATGAGAGAGAATCATCGATCAGCTGCCTCTTGCACAGCCCCTACTGGGGATGTGCCCACAACCAAGGTACATGCCCTTGACCGGAATTGAACCTGGGACCTTTCAGGTCTGCAGGCCGACGCTCTATTCACTGAGCTAAACCGGTTCCGGCTGTTCTTTATTTTTGACAACAGTAAACCCATGCTATAGATTTGTACCCTGTACCCTCAAAAGAAAGTGCCCTAAATACTCACATAATTTTAGCCCTTTTTCCCAAAGTATCATCACTCAAAACCTATAATAATACAGGCTTTGGAAAAGAGAGGCTCTTTTCAAGCCAATATTATAAAGTAGCAGCTGTAGGCTAGAAATAGAGCACACTGCATTCATGCAATAGTTTGTTTCTGGCTTCCAAACCTTGTTAGTTGGGGGAGGGAGTCTGCACTTAGGTATTTCCTGTGTATTACATTTATAGTGTAATGCTTTCAGCAGGTGCTAGTAAGTAAATTAATTGTTTGGATTGTGTTTTCTTATTTTGTAGTCTCCTCTAAGCCATGACCTCATCCTTAACCTGACTCAGGACGGGATCAAACTACTGTTTGATGCTTTCAATCAGAGACTTAAGGTAACTAAAGTTTCATGTCAGTCTGATTAATATGCACTGTTGTGAGATGTGTCTGAAACTCCTAAGTGGGAATAAACTTCCTTGGTTCAGAGACCACAAGGAGGTAGCCTTGCCTGTTTCCCTAAAAAGGTAAAGGTCTGGTAGTTGGAAATATTCTGGGAAGGACTCTACTCCTAGGCTCTGGAGGTGAAAGGGAAAGTATTGAGGATTTGGGGAACATGGTATGGGGAGTGGGCTTTTATATTAAATAGGAAAACGAGGAGCTAAGTATATGGCATAGATACTCCTGAGTCTTTAAAAAGCTTCTAAAGCTCAGCAATTCAGTCCTAGGTGTCTACCCAAGAAATGAAAACACATCCACAAAATATAAAAAATTTAAAAATTTGTACAGAAATATACTTAGCATAAACATAAGTAATTCTAACAGCTTTAAGCATAATAGACACAAGATGAAAAATAAACCAGTGTCCATCAGTGGATGAGTGGATGAGCAAAGTGAACTATGTTCATGCAGTGAAGTATAATATGATAAAAAATGAACAATTTACTCCTGCCTCAACATAGATAGGTCTCAAAAACATTATGCAAAAGAATTAAGTGAAATAAACAGTCACAAAGGACCGCCTTAAAAAAAGGGGTGGGGGTACTAACGATAAGGCCTAATGGCAGAATAGGACCACAAGATTTTAGTCAGGTTTATATCTTACTTATTTCATTCTTCGGTCAAATAACATGACTTAGAAGTTGAAAATTAGAGCAGTTCTTCCTAAAATGCTGAGACTAAAGCTCAATGAGTTTGAGGAAATGTAAACAAACAACTTGCTGGTGTGCAGGGTTGTCTTAATTAGCGCTCAAGTGCAATTTACTAACACCTGCTTCAAGTCCAGGATGTTTTTAATATACTATTTACAAATGCCTGGGCTTTACAGGTTAGTCATGTGACATCAGACTCATGCCCCAGAGTCACAAAGTTGAATGTGACTCTGGGCAGTGGCATGCCAAAGACATCATCCTGGTGATGATATGGAGTTGTCTTTCCAAAAGACTTAAGATACTTCCTAGTTCTAGACATCCCGTCACAGTGAGCTGCTGAGGAGATAAGACAAAATATGGAAAAACAATCTTTACATGAAATGAGAATTCCTCATTTATGATGATTTTTCAAAAGCAGGATTTGATGTGAACATTCTTAGCCCCACATCTTCCTTGCCTCTCCTTGTGGACTTAGTTGTCCTGTCCTCACTGCCCAAAGTTTCACACTGGTAAAAGGGAGAGGATGGCCTTCGGTGTAGTTTCATCGCAAATTGGGGAATAAATATTAACCTGGAAACACCTTTACAGAGAGTCACTTGCCTTTTACTTGGTAAAGCCACTTTAGGAAACATAACTTAAAAAGGTTATGGGGAGGGTAATGTGGCCAGGTATTTATAGTAGGGCTTTTCATAGTAACAAAAAGCTGGAAGTAACCTAAGTGGACAACAAAAGGGGGAGGCTAGACAGCCCATTACAGAGTCACAGCATGGTAAAGACAAAATCATGGATAGGGTGTTTATTAAAATACATTTCAGCCCTAACTGGTTTGGCTTAGTGGATAGAGCGTTGGCCTGGGAACTCAAGGGTCCCATGTTCAATCCTGGTCAAGGGCATGTACCTTGGTTGTGGGCACATCCCAGTAGGGGGTATGCAGGAGGCAGCTGATCGATGTTTCTAACTCTTTATCTTTCTCCCTTTCTTTCTGTAAAAAATCAGTAAAATATATATTTTTTTAAATAGTGTATATACATTTTTGGGGAGCACTTGGTACATATTAGGTTCAGGGCTGAGTGCTTCCCATGCATTTCCTAATTTAATCCTAATAAACTTGTGAGGTACTGTTTACCAGTCAGTCAGCTTGAGGAGAGGATAGTGACTTGCCTGACCAAGTTTTTAACCCTATATTACCAGTGGCTTAAGCTCTGTTGTTGGGTATGGGAAATAAAAGTGATAAAAGCTGAAGAAAACAGTGTGAGTACATTATGCAGAATGTGAGAATGGGAAGTACATTAGATGGGTAAAGAGGTAAAGCCTTCAGTCAGTATGAAGAAGGAGGAGGGGCTGGGAGCTGCCTGAGCCTCTGGAAACTGAGGAAGCAATCAGTCAGGTGCCCTTGCTTGGCATCCAGTCTGCTCTGACCCATCTGCCTGCCCTTCCATCCAAGGGCTTTAGAATCTCTCTCTCATGCTGTCTTCTGCAGTTTCCCTGTCTTTCACCTGCTGCCTATGAGTGAGCTCTGTGGAATGAGGCTTCACAAGTCACAACCTTTACAGCCATCTGTCTTTTCCTTTCCTATTTTGGCTGCTGGCATGCCTCCTTTTCTCTCTGGTGAAATCAAGGACTTTTCCAGCCCCGAGGCTAGAAAATCATGGACTTTAGACTTCCTCAGCTGCTGTTCCTATGGCCCAGCAAGATCCATAAACTAAAAGCTGCTGGTAGAGTTTCCTGGTGACAGGAAGGATTCCCATATGGTCAGCACTCTGGGTTCCTTGCCACAAGTGCCCCCCGGTCATTAACTGGTTCACTGGGCAGGCAGGGTTGAACCACCTCCAAGTGTTTGTCTGAATGCAGCAGGTGGATGACAGTGACATAGGAGGAACATTCTGGAGGCTCACTCCCATACTAAGTGGTTGAAAGCCCTTGAGATGCGGTTTTCAGCTGTTGTCGTAATCAGAAGCAGAGTGCCTGCTTCTACTATATAAGCAGGGTTCTCCTATATAACCTGGGGCCCTGGCCTCGGTCAAATGGCATACCAATTTGGCAAGATAGACTGCCATGCCCAGGCTTCCTGAAGGGGACACTAGTGTCTTATGAATCATAGCTATTTCCCTTCCCTTCCTTGCATGACCTCTCTTGGTATTTCTTTTCATGCTTTTGAGCTACATGTTGCCCTTAGCTAGCTTTATAGCAGGCCCACTCACCTGATATGTTGAGTACTTCCCCCTTTGCACACTAATAAGCCAGACCTTAGGGACCTTAACTTAGTGGGACCAGTGGACAGCATTCACAAGTAGTGTAGGAAAGGGTTGATTGAAGTGCTGTGATGGCCAGTAGAGGAAGTGATCCTTAGAAGCAGATAGGATCAAAATAGCCACATTATAGTTAAGAGATGTCTAATTTGTAAATTCTGTGTTGTGATCTCTGAAGCTACAGGCAAGGTCTGGCCAAAAGTGAATTGCCTATTAGGTCTCAGTTTCTGTAACAAAGCCAGATGCTCCTATACCTAATTTCCCTTCCAGAGTCAAACCCAGATTGTCAGGGCAAACAGACATTGAACCAGCTCTCGTTTGGTCTCTAAAATGAGGCCCAATGTCCGGCCGGCTGGTTCAGTGGCTGAGCATCAACTTAGGAATCAGGAGGTCACAGTTCGATTACTGACCAGGATACATGCCTGGGTTGTTGGCTCAGTCCCATTGTGGGGCGTGCAGGAGACAGCCAATCATTCTTAACATTGATGTTTCTCTCTCTCTCCCTCTCCCTCTCCCTTCCTCTCTGAAATAAAAAATATATTTTTTTAAAAAGTAAAACAAGGCCCAAGACCTCCCAGCTGGAGAATGGTGGATGGTTTTGCTAGCTGCCAGGCCCTAGACATCATTGTCATAGAGGACTTCATAGTGCTTATTACTTGGTACCAATAGTGGCTGTGTGTTCAATAACTTTTCCTTTGTCTCTGCCCTGAATTCTGGACATTTCCTTTGAGCTTCAGGGTTCTGAGATTCTCCAGGTTTAGCCAGATGCCCTTGATTAAGGATATATCTGAATATTGTCACAGTTGTCCTAAGCTAATGTATTGTGACTTTTTTTTCCTAGCAGGATAGACCTCCCCCTCCATTTTTTTTTGTTCTGTAAACACAGTATTTTGAAGCTATTTTTGAAATTGACTTGATTTGGGTTTTTATATGAGGAAGTAATCTCCATATCCAAGAATACAACCTTTAATATATATTTTATTGATTTTTTAATTTTTATTTTATTTTTACAGTGAAGATAGAGGGATAGAGAGTTAGAATCATCCATCAGCTGCCTCTTGCACACCGCTACATACCCTTGACCAGAATCGAACCTAGGACCTTTCAGTCCACGGGTTGATGCTCTGTCCACCGAGCCAAAAAGATTTCGGCGGATACAACCTTTTTTTAAGAAAAATATGTTTTTATCAATTTTTTTAGAGAGAAAGGAAGGGAGATATGTGCCCTGACTGGGAATTGAACCAGCAACCTTTCAGTCCATGGTTGACATTCAACCAACTGACTCACAGTGGCCAGGGCTCTGAGGTTACAACCTTAACAAACCCATGGATTTTTTTCTGTGGAGCGATTCACTGTCCTGTAGGGATGGTATGTACAGTCTTCTCTATGATATGGCAGTAGATGAGGTACAACAATCTTGACCCAGAGCATCCACAAACATCTGTTCAGTCTACTGTAAGAGGGGGAAGGAGAGGTTCTGCTGTGTGTGGTATGGGTTCCTCCCCCACTCCCCAGATTTAACAATGAGAGCTAAAGATACTGTGCAGTGCTTCCAGAGAATTTCAGCTAGTGATATTATTTTTTTCTTTGCTATTCTATAAACATCTTTTTTAATCTTCTTCAACTACAGAGCATTAACAACTCTTAATTTTTTTTTCTTCTTTTTAGGTGATTGAAGTATATGACTTGACTAAAGTAAAGTTAAAATATTGGTGAGTTTTTTCCCTTGCTGGTATATGTCACAGGCTTGGTACAAGTTATAATCACCTCTTAGCTTTCATGAGCAATAGAATTGGGACAGTAGAGATAGGTCTGACTCCAAAACCTATGCTAAAGAAAATGTCCAACGGGCCACTATTTGGGGTACCAAGTCTGCTTTTTAGGATGATATCTGTATGGTGCACAAATATTTGGCCCCCATATGGCAAGAGGGTATTCTAGCATCTAGAGTGCTCTGCTCAGTAAGCTTCTAAGGTCTGGCTCTCCTGGGCTTGAGATATGACTTCATCATTTTATTAATCTCTGTGACCTTGGGCAAGTCACTTGACCACCCTTTGCTTTTGTTTCCTCATCAAATAAATGAAACCAATAATGTGGCTGCTGGGTTAGGAAGATTGTATGAGATGATATTGGAAAATAAAGCATAGAGCACAGAGCCTGGTTAATTAAGAGGTGTTCTATAAATGATACTAATTTTCCAAAAAAAAAATTTCTTAACCTTTAAGCATTCTCCTGAAAGTCATAAATGCCTTATCTTCATGCTCATCATCTGAAATCCTATGCCCCCCTACTCCCAAGCCCGTCTCCCCCTCCCCCCACCCATCTGCCAAGTCACCCAATTAACCTGCCTTTTAGAGAATTAGCTGCCTTGCTTGGCTACACCCTGCTTTTAAGATGTTTATCCCTTTTTAAGAAAGTTCCTTTTCAAGCCAACTATTTGTAGGCATCCTAGGAAAACACATTCACATTGTATAAATTGAGGCCACTCTTTAAGTTTGGATACCTGGAGCTGAGACTGGATTTATTTCCTTCTGAACAGATGTCTTGGGAGGCCCTAGAGGACCAATTCTGTGTATAAGCCTCGGGAGAATTGACTTGTCCTGACCTCTTTGATTGTCTCTTATTTTAAAGTTCTTTAATTAAACTTTTATTTTGACATAATTGTAGACTCACCCACCTGTGTTTTGAAGAATAACTCTTTTAGCCACCATCTCCAGTGATCAGGGAAGCCTGGTATTAAAAAATGTCTTTGTTTTTCAGTGGAGTACATTTTAACTCTCAGGCCATAGCTCCCACCATTGAGCAGATTGACCAGTCTTTCGGTGCAACCCATCCTGGTGGTAAGCCAAGTCCATTTGATTCCTCTGGTTCTCTGGCAGCCCATAGTGATAAATCTGGCAAATGGGACCACCCCCACCACAACCTCCTGAAGCCCAGTTCCTGTAGTATATGGGGATAGGTACTTGAGTGTGAAGGAATGCTCCTCCCCCTTGTTTTCAGCCTAATAGGTCAGTTCAGAAATGAGACACAGGGAAGTGTTGCCAGTCATTACTTCCTGCCAGGCTGGTTTGTGTTTGCAACTTCAACCGTGCCATTTCCTTCTCATTCCTACAGTATACAACTCTGCTGAGCAGCTCTTCCACCTCAACTTCAGAGGACTGTCTTTTTCTTTTCAGTTGGACTCGTGGACAGAAGCTCCCAAGTACGAGGTTAGCCCTTACTTTCCCTGAGTGTGTGTTGCCCAATCCCCAGGTCATGGAGGTCAGCAGACAGTGCTATTCAGCCAGATGAGATAGATATCCTCTGGTTATCTATTGCTTCAGCAGAATGTTTCATTCTTCCTTGGGGTTATGAAATGATAGCTTTTCCTAAGGCTTAGATTTTATTAAAGGGGGTATTCCTGCATTTCTTCACTGATGAAAGTAAGGGAAGAAAAACAAAGTAAAATTAAAGATGAACTTGCCTGGTTGGGGTGAGCTTATTGACCTAGAGCCAGATTTAACTAGTATGTGCTACTTTGATCCGGCCAGTTCATGAAGACCATGATTACTGGGGAAATGCCAGAGCCTGAGTCACATGGCCTACAGTGCGCCCTTAGTAAAACGATTGTTCTGTGTTTGCAGCCCAATTTTGCTCATGGTCTAGCTTCTCTCCAGATTCCCCACGGAGCAACTGTGAAACGAATGTACATCTACAGTGGAAACAGCCTTCAGGATACCAAGTATGTGACAGGGAACACAAGCTTCATGCTAAGGCCCGGTAGGTAAGGCAAAGCCTGGTCTTACTTTGTGCCTGCCCCCAGGGCTCCCGTGATGCCCCTGAGCTGTTTCCTGGGCAACGTGTATGCTGAGAGTGTAGACGTTCTTCGAGATGGAACTGGACCCTCAGGTTTACGACTTCGCCTACTTGCTGCAGGTCAGTTACTGGCTGTGGGGTGGTGGATTCCCTCTTGTTCGTGTTGAGACAGTCTAAAATCCCACGTTGGTAGAAGACAAATGATGAAGATGCTTATGATTATTAGCACCATGCTCTAACCAACTGAGCTAACCGAAGATGCTTATGATTAAAGCTTTCATTTGAATTTGTGCAGGGACAAGAGATAGTCTTACCAGTAGCATATCTTGAATAACAGTAGCACTGCTTTCCTCAGCATGGACGTAAGCCTTCTGTCAGCGTATGTAGTTTTGCGTCTCCAAGCTGTTTATTGGAGATGGATGTTGTGAACTCCGGTGCTGTCAGTTCTCCGCCCTTTAAGCCCAGTTCTTAGAGCAGGCTGGCAGGAGGGGCTTGTTGAATTGTGGTTTGGCCACACCCTGCTGAGATTTTGCTGGCTTTGAACAACAACAAAAAGAGTGGCTGTCTTCAGTAGTTGGTCTCTCTAGGATCCACGCCTCATTTTGTGGTTCTTATGCCAGGCCAATCTCGGGTACATTGGATCTTGGATGGGGCTTAGTAGGACAGGGATCTCTAGTGTGGAGCTTGCCTCCATAAAGATGGCCTGGAAGCCAACATAGAGATTGTACCTTCACAGAACTCATAGTCTAGCTAGTATTTGTTCATAATTGGAGTCTTGCGTCTCTGGGCATTGGTTCTTAACTGTTAAGAGTCTTGTATGTAGGGGGATGAGGGTGGGCTAGGAGGGGTGGGGGTGGGCATATATAATACTTTCAACAATAAAGATTTTTTTTTTTTTTTAATCTGATATGTAAACTGAACTACTGCTCTGAACAAATTAGACATTCACAACCTCCAGGTTAGAAATTTCTTAAAATGTGATTTTCTAGCCAAGGCAGAATAACAGCTCCTTAAAGGAATGTTGCACCTGAGCTATAGCTTTTGAGAGAGTTGAAGGAATTGTGATGCGGCAGCACAGGTGAATGATTTAGGGTCTGTCTGCTCTAGAGGATTGCTGCTTGAAACAGCAGGATAGTCAAGGGTGGCACAGCTATCCCAGATGACAGGAGGAGGAGCCTGTTGGAAATGGGGAGTGTCGCAGTTAATTCTGACTGCCACCCTGTACAGCATACCCCTAGCAGTCACATCTCAGGGCTTGAGTTACTGTCCAATCCAGTACTCTTTGAAAGTTTTCTTTGGCAAGTTGAAGGGTAGCTTGTCTCAACTGTCCTATTTCTCCCTTCTGTTTTCTTATGGCTACAGTAATGCTTTTTTTGTTGTTGCCTGTGAGAGAGAGAGAGAGAGAGAGAGAGAGAGAGAGAGAGAGAGAGAGAGAGAGAGAGAGAGAGAGAGAGAGAGAGAGAGAAATATCAATTTGTTGTTTCACTTATTCATGCATTCTCTGGTTGATTCTTGGCATACGATGGGGACAACACTAACCAACTGAGCTACACAGCCAGGGCCACAGTGATACTTTTAACAGGGAAGAACAGTTCATCTGTTTTGGTCCCTGCAATAATTTATAGAAAGACTTACTTGGGAATCAGAAACTGAAAAGCTCCTAAAACTAAAGATAATTTCACCTGGGTAGGTTTCAGGAAGAAAAAGAAAGCTTACCTGTAAGGGTGCCTTGCCTACAGCCCCATCTGGGCATCACAAGAATCTGGTACCTGGAGACTTTGGGCAAACAGTCCAGCCTGACACCATTTTTGGTGGGTTCCAGGTTTGCCTAAACAAAGTTTTATTTTGCTATTCAGTGTATATGTGCTGTGAATAAAGACTCAGGTTAATTGGAGAACTCAGCACCTTGTATTTCATATTTGGGATCCCTCAAGTCTTCTGTATGTAACAGATGGATTGTTATCCATGAAAAGAGTTTGGTCAACTCTAAAACCCCGTGCAGAGTAAGGTAATGTTGGTGATTATTATGGTACCAGGAATTGCAGTCCACTTCAGTCTTGACCTTTTTTCTTTTTCCCCCCAAAATATGATACTTTGTCTTCCCATCCACAAAATGGGGGAAATTTTACTAATGGTATATCTATTGCTATTCCCCAACTATGTGTGTATTTAATTGGAGCCATTTCTGAAATCTGTATTAGACAAAGAGTTAAATATTCTTCCCAAAGAAGAAACTTTTGACAAGTCAGGATTTTTTTTTTAATTTATTTTTTTCATTTTTTCACTTTCCTGGGTTTCTCTTGGAGTACTAGTGTGTGTCAGGTGTTTGTGGAATTAGGGAATGAGTTAATGTGTACTTCACTCATGGCTTTTATAGAGTGATCTTTAGGCCCAATCTCTCGTTGGGTGTTACCATCCTAGCATTAAGTACCCTTTATCTTGTCAGGACCTGCAAAGTGTCAAGAAATCATAGTACTTTATTATATACTTCATAGCACCTGTGCAGCTATTTATTGTCCCTCAGATGTGTGCTGACCTGATTAGGATCTTTATCACACCATAAACTCCATGTGGGCACCTGTTTTGCTCACAATTGTTTCCTCAATATCTAGCCAAGTATTCCCTAGCCTTTAATGGTCAATAGTAAATACTTGGTGAGTGAGTGTATGGTGTTTCCAGAGCTTTGTGGAATCAAATGAGTCTCTGGCATTATTTAGATAAGGTAGTGATCTCTAGTAGCATCTCAAGCCCTTGCATGCAGTTGTGCCTCTCAGCAGACCTGATAATGCAGTGTACAATCAGTGGCCTCTGGAGGCCCCAGGGCCCTGGGCTACAGAGTCTCAAGCCCTACCCTGGAACTGATTATACCTTTCCCTTGTTCTCTGCAGGTTGTGGACCTGGCCTGTTAGCAGATGCCAAGATGCGGGTATTTGAACGTTCAGTATATTTTGGTGATTCTTGCCAAGACGTTCTTAGCATGCTTGGTTCTCCACACAAAGTCTTCTATAAATCAGAAGATAAGGTGAGGGAAATGTGTTCATAAAGTGAATAGTGGAATAGTGGTCTCCTAATGTTTTTAAATCATTAACTTAATATTGAGTAAATATAAACTTTTTGCTGTTTTCTCATAGAACCTGTTCTGTTAAAGCAGATGGAGAAGTAAATTGAAAGCTCTTTTCTGACACTTGTTGGTCAGATTATGCTGCCTTTCCTTGGAGACCAGGGCCAGTTTATAGTCAACCACAGCTGGCTGGGTTGGTTGGCACCAGCACCTGGGACTCCTAGACTCTTGCCTACCCAACAGCTTAGTGTCAGAGAAAAAAACCCCCACAATTTATAGCATCATTTAATCCAAGGATTGTATTAAGGGGGTGGATTTTAATTCATTATTTTTTTCCCAACAGATGAAAATTCATTCTCCTTCCCCCCATAAACAAGTCCCATCCAAGTGCAATGACTACTTTTTTAACTACTTCACTCTTGGAGTGGTAAGTTATGATTCCTTAGAGAAGTGTTTAATTTCTGCAGGCATAGGCAATGTACCTTGGCACACCTGTGTACACATATACAGCCGAAACTGGGCCTAGCAGCAGGGAACCTAGCCCCAGCTGGCTTTGCCCACTATTGTGTATATCAGACTTTCCTGCCACCAAGATTGCTGAGATACTGAGTTTTCTGATATGTCTTCTCTGATAGAAGCATGCTCCATGGGTGGAGTCTAGGAATCATTCAGGTTAAGATGTTTTGGGAATTAGAGTTCTGGAGTCACAAAACTAGAAGATTAAAAAGTTTCAAAAACAGTGGGAGTCTTTGTGTATTTAAGGGATCATCCCATTGTAGCCCTATGCTCTGGACCGAGGGTGCTGACAGTCCAGCTGGTAGATGGGTTTTGTGTGTAAGAAATGATGGTGTAAACACTGCACCAGCAGGATACATCTCAGAAGGCAGGCTAACCTGGATCTTGGGTCTTCCAACCTCTGAGCTCTCTAGGGCCTGGGGTCCTGGCGTAGATTCCAGAGAAGGTGAAAGGAGAGATTTGGGTTTGCCTATGTGGGAAAGACCAAACAGGAACCCGGAGATGTGAGAGAGTAATGGGATCATAAACTGTTGGGGCTAGGCTGTGCCAGGAGGGCATGGCACTATTTTAAGCTAAACTTTTTAAAAAATATATATTTTACTGATTTTTTTTACAAAGAGGAAGGGAGAGGGATAGAGAGTTAGAAACATTGATGAGAGGAGAAACATCAATTAGCTACCTCCTGCACACCTCCTACTGGGGATGTATCGGCAACCAAGGTACATGCCTTTGACCGGAATTGAACCTGGGACCCTTCAGTCCGCAGGCTGATGATCTATCCACCGAGCCAAACCAGTTAGGGCTATGCTCATATTTTTTTATCCTGGTCCTTAACAGGAAAGATCTGATGTGTTTGAGTTCCCAAGCAGCCACCTGTGCTGGCCAGGACTGCTGGCACATATTTGGAATAGGGAGGCCTATAGATGTTGGATGCCCCCCTCCCCGAAAATATCCAGTTAAGGCTGATTGGTCTCATCTGTCCCCTTGATAGTTGCTGGAGAGAAAGCTCCTGCCTGCAGGCACCATCATTGTGGAACAGATGTCTCTGGGTTGGACATGTCCTGGGAAAGGCTGCTGCCCTGCCTCAGTAACTCCTGACTCAGGCATTCTTGTTTTCTATCCCAGGACATCCTCTTTGATGCGAACACTCACAAAGTGAAGAAGTTTGTCCTTCATACCAATTACCCTGGGCATTATAATTTCAATATGTGAGTATACCTGTACTTGCCCCTCTGAGCAGTGGGCTTTGGACTAAACATTCCCAGGAAAGAGAGCCTATGGCTTTAGAGTTTACTAATTTATCTACACCTGAATTCTTGCTGGCTCATGGGAAGTGAACATTTTCTGGGTGTTCATTCTGTTCCTAGTATAGTGTCCAGTACCTTACATCTCTCCCTCTGTACCCAGCTTACAAACAGGGAAATAAGTTCAGAAAGCTTGGTGTCTTATCCAGGGTGGCTTATTTAGACTCCAGAGCTGTACCGTTTTCTGTTGAACTCTTAATTCCTAAAGCTGGCCTTCCCCAGTGAATTCCGAGTCAGGCCCAGTGCTGGACTTGGGATAGTTGTGCTTGGTTCTGTTTTTCCTGGAGTGCAAGGTTAAGATGTGGGTAAGCCTTTAACCATTTTCCTTTTCTCTCTTAGTTATCACCGTTGTGAGTTCAAGATCCCAATAGCCATAAAGAAAGGTGAGTAGTGAGTGTCCTCCGGAAAAGAAAAGGCTTTTGGGTTCAGTCACGATGAGAAGGGACAAGTGATCCAAGTAGAGAGGATGGTAACAGGTGGGTGAATGTAGTCTTGGCCACCTGATCCTGCCCACAGCCTCGACTCCTCTGGGCTATGCTCTCTGTATGGGGGGAGCGGTAGGGAGGCTACAGTGGTTGGTCTGTAGTCTCGTGGAGGCCTTCCAGAGCTTTTCCTGTAACTGGAGTGCTGGTCTCTGGAAGGGAGGTTTTCCTAGCTACAATGGTCATCCAGGTGCTCCCCACCCTGCCTTGTCATTGTTGTCCACTGCTGGTTCACACCTGACTGACCTCCCTGCAACCCTCTATTTTTCTTCCATTCAGGAATAAAACCGTCTGTCTCTCCTCCCTCAATACTCCAACCCCAGTTTGAAGGGAGGCCAGATCTGGATTCTGCCTAGGGCTAGGTCACGGGTGGGCTGGGCCCGCTGCCAACCACTCTGTATTATTCTCTTTTCAGAAAATGCAGATGGTCAGACAGAAACATGCACAACCTATAGCAAGGTGAGCTCCTATTTTCCCACCTGGTGCAGCCAAAAATGACGTGGTCATGAACATGCTAGCATGTTCTCTGGGCCTGTCATTGGTCACAGGTGTGGTCAGGCCTTGCTAACTCCCTGCGGCCTCTATCCCTCTTGCAGTGGGACAACATCCAAGAGCTCCTGGGTCACCCTGTGGAGAAGCCTGTTGTCCTTCACAGGTGAGTGAGCAAGGTTACTATCTCCGGCCACCCTGTCAGAAGGCCTAGGGAAGCCTAACGGTGGATATTGCTTAGAAATAAATTATAGACATGTTCATACTTCCTTCCCCAACTCTGTGCATTAATACAGGGCCTACTTTTGCATGTTTGCCTGTACAAGAAAGGTTGCCTAATGGGAATAGCTTCTCCCCTCCTCCACCTACCTCCAGATATGAGAGCCTTTTCACCCCTAGTTACTCAGAAAGTGAGGCAGTCGTGAAGAACTGCCCTAGGATCTTATTTCCATCAAAGCTACTAGCCATAGTCCACAGCCCAACAACCCCAGTACCTGGTTGTCTGAAGCTCTCTGCCTCCTGACTTCTCACAACCCAGTTCATTTCCATGGTAACTTTCTGTGCCATGTTAGGCTGAGGGAGGCCTGTTGCTACCTCTGATACCCCAAGGGTCTGTGTGGGACTTACAGACCACCTGCCAATAGCTCCCACTCCCAAAAGGGTCTGCTGGCCTGGCCTTGGCCTGCCCCTCTAATTCTGGCTTCCCCGGCCTCAGGTCCTCCTCCCCAAACAACACCAATCCATTTGGCTCCACATTCTGCTTTGGTCTTCAGCGGATGATCTTTGAGGTAAGCCCTGGGGACTGGGGCCGCTGTTCTGGCAGGGAGAGGCAAGTCCTGGAGAGAGATCGGGGAGGACCTAACGGCCCTGCTGGGCAGGTTAATCCTTCCCAACAACTCTGCTGAGAACTTAGCCTCTCCAGTTTAACAGTGAGGGTTCAGAAATTACACTAGAGAAATTCAGGGTCAGGTAAGCTAAAACAGTGCTCTGGATCCTGTAAGATGAAAGGTAACGGGAATCCCAATACCTAAAACCAGTACATCAGGGAAAGGAACCACAGGGCAAGTGGGGCTCAAGTGGCTATTGAGGCCCTATTGGCTTCGGAGAAGAATGGGCTGCCCTGTTTTCTGTTCTGGATGTCATGGCCTTCAGCAGGCCCCTGAGGAGTTCCAGAAGAACTGGACAAGTAGGTGTGGTGGGTTCATGTGTCCCAGGAGGCACAGGCAGACACTAGGGCAGAAATGATGCCTAGCATGAGATAAGGGGTGTGGAGGGATTGGCCCAGTCCTGTGCAGTTGTGTTGTACACACAACCTCCATGACCAAGTACAGGGCCTTCTTTGGGTCCTTTCTCAGCCCCAGTGCTAATCCCACCGGTGGTTTTTGAGGGTCTGATTGCTTGCTCTGCTCCGTCCCCTTGACTGCTGTCCTCCTCTCACATCAGGTCATGCAGAATAACCACATTGCCTCGGTGACCCTGTATGGCCCCCCCAGGCCTGGTGCCCATCTGAAAACAGCAGAGCTCCCCTAGGGACATCACCACCCGTGCCCCTCTCCCCCGTCGAACTGTGTCTCTCATCCTCCTCAGCGGGTCTTCATGTGCCACCTGTGGGTTTTCTTGGACACCTTGCCAGTGTTGAAGGGCTGTTGTGATGTTCTGTGATGAGGCTCAGGCTGGGTGCTCTGCCATGAGAGGAGAGACCCAGATATTCTTCTGTCCGTCTTCAGCCTGCTGGTGCCAACAGGGGACACGGACTGCAAAGAGAAGCACAAACTCTGAGCCTTGATACCTGAACCCAGGAGCTTTTGGCTAACACTTACGGAGGCAGGGTTCTGTCTCCTCTATCCCATACATGTGGGAAAACTTGGGACTCTGTGGCCGAGGACGCAGGCACCCAGGACGAGGACAAGGCCCTGTGTTTGGCCCAACATTGCCACATGACCCTTAAGGCAAGCAGGTAGCACATCCATAGGACTTGGTTGCAACTTTTGCACTACATTCACTTTAGTTACTTGATGAGCTGGCTGTTGCCAAGGTGGCCCACCTGCCCTTCCTTGTTCCTTTCTTGCACGCGATCCCTGCCAGGCCCAGTAGGCACACCCACCTGGTTGAAACAGCTTTCTTCCATCCAGGTACGTGCCCAGGCCTGGTTCCCATCCTTGGAGCCAGCCTTTGACGTTGCCTCTGCCCCGCTATGCCCCACCCTGGCTGGCAGGGCTGCATGTTTCCATCCTTTTTGCCTCTTTTATTTAATGCCAAAGTTTTAGCCAAAGACATCTTCCTCCTCCGTTGTGTTTCAGCATTCTGTTCTGCACTGTGGGCTGGCTCCCCTGCCCCAACCCTGGGCAGTGTCCCCTGGCTGGGCCCATTCATGGCTCAAGGCTTCTGGGGACTCAAGGAGGGCTGAGCTGTTCAGCCTCTCCATGGGTCTTGCTAAGGAAAGTAGCATATGTGCTTTAAAAATATTAACCTTTTGAAAAGAATTGAGAAGAGAAATGTATAATTTTATCCCATTTTTAATATTTTGGTCTAGCAACTTGTGATACATAGATGACAATTTTGTGAGTTTTTCAAATGTGTGTACAGATTTTTGTAAATACGACTTTTGTAATTAACTCATGTACAGCCTCATCCTGTATAGTTTAACGATGAATGTGCAGGGGACCTGCCCCAGGTTCCTATATGATTCCTGGGCCTCCATCCAGGCTTGTGTGGCGTTCTCATGACTTTGTGACTGACTGGTCTTCCCATTTGGACTGTAGCCTGGCCAGAGACACCACCCCCATCCCCAGTCCACATGGCCCCACTATTGGGTCAGCCAGGACTGATCTCATCCTCCTGGAATGGGGGAACCTTCCTCATGTCCGACCCACACCTCCAATAAAGACCTATGCCCTCAGCAATGGCTCACCACGTGCTGTTGCTGGGATATTTGTACTAAAGTGTGGGGTCATTGACTTTTTCTTTTTTTAGAATGTGGGAAAATGAATAGAGTAGTCATCTTAGAAGAGGTTCCTTGGCTCCTCTGAAGGGGCAATACAGCCTTCAAAAAAGAAATCCAGCCTCCAGGAGATTGCCCTAGTTGTGTGGGTATAGGTTCTTGTGCCCCAGGGTAGTTGGAGGTGGGGAAAGACTTAGTTGACCCTGTGTGCCTCGGTTCCTGCTGTTGCAACCAAACCAGGGCCCAGGAAGTGGGTGTCTCCTCAAAAGGAGATTTAAAGACCTTGACAAAGCTGAAAATACAATTTGGAGGGACAGATTGGAAGCAAAATGCCTACTTTCAGATTGAGTTTTAACAGCATGTCTGCCAGCATCCCTCCTTGTGGGATCTAGCTATGAAAAAGGCCTGTGTGTGCATCCTCAGGGTTTCAAACCAAGTTGTGTGGTCAGAGTCCACGAGTCCCTGCCACTTCCACACATAAACACACACCATCCCCCTTACTCTCAAAGGTTTGTCATTGCATGGTTCCAGATCAGCTCCCAAGTAGGGGCATCTGAATGAGTGGGGCTGGGGGCTTGATAGGTTACTATGGGCCCCACTGGAAGGGGCCAGCGGCCACAGGCTGCTGGTGTGCACAGGCCGGCCCAGGCGATCCATGCAGTAGGTGCCACATGAGCCAGATGTCAGCGGCCGAGAGTCCATGCACTACAACCAGCTCCCGGTAAAAGCGGGGGTCAAAGGTGCGCAGGTGTGGCGCGGCAGAAGGTTGGGGTATGCCAAAGGTGCGGAAAGCAGGATGAGGCTCCGGTGCGAGCCGGAGGCGCTGCAGACACATCCCCAGGAAGACATCGTCTATAGGGAAGAGCTCCACCTGGGCGCAGGCGCCCGCCAGGCGGCGCAGCGTGGCCCCCGAAAGCACGAAGCCGCCGCCGCCCGCGTAGGCCGGGTAGGCGGGCAGGCCGTACACAGCCTCCGGGATGTAGTACTTGCTGGCTCGCGCCCGGATGGGCCGCGCCTGCACGATCACATCGCCCACCAGAAGGTCCTGCGCCGGGTCCCGCGCCGCCAGGAACTCCAGCAGGTTCCCCACGTGCATGAACACGTCGGCGTCGCCCTTAAAAACGAAGCGCACGTTGGGGCAGTAGGCCGAGGCCCAGGCCAGGAAGTGGATCTCCTTGAGCGTCAGGTTGAAGAACGTGTCGTCGAAGGCCCAGAGCAGGATGTCCGTGTAGGTGCGGCTCTCCGCGCGCAGCAGGGCGCGCCAGCGCGCTGGGGAGCCGGCCCCCTCGGCTCCGGCGGGGTCAGAGCCCGCGCCCTGGGGCACGCCCAGCAGGAACACGCGGCGCACCAGCGCCCCGCGCACGCGCCCCTCGGCCCCCCACGTCTGGCGCACGGCCTGCCGCCGCTCGAAGTCGGCCGCCACCGACTTGACGGCGATGAGCAGGTCGGGTCCCGCGCCCGGCGCGCCGTCACCCCGGCACTTGTGCGGCTGGTTGATGAGCAGGGGGAAGCGGCGCTGGTCCTTGGCACGCAGGTACCCGCGAAAGTCAAAGGGCCCCGTGGGCGTGGGCGGCTCCGGCGTGTCCTCCTCGTAGGCCGGCAGGGCCGCGCCCGCGTCCGGCGCCTGGAACACCCGGAGCCGGGCGGGGGGCCCCCGCGCTGCCCGCCCCTGCGCCCGCGGCGCCCGGGCGGTGGGAGCTGGGCCCTCGCGCTGCGCGTAGAGCAGGAGGCTGAGGGCGGCGCCCAGGACCAGCGTGAGCAGCGCGTCCCCGCGTAGGCGCAGCCTCCGCCGCATGTCCGCGTGGCCGGCGCCCGCGCCCCCTGCGGAGAGACTGGGTTCTGGGCCCGCCCTCCCGGAGGGGAGGGGGCAGGCGGGAGGCCACCCGCCGAGCTTCCCCAACGACCGGGCGGTTCCTCCCCCTCTGGGCTCCGTTACTCCCCTCATCTACCCCCCACCCCCACCCCCAAAGGGCAAGGAGTCTTACCAGCAGCCAGCTCCCACCCTCAGCTTCAGCCCTGGACGGTGCGCCAAGGCTGGGCCGGGAGAGACAGCCTCCGCCTCCCCCCACCCGCCTTCCCGCGCTGAGGCCAAATCCCTTTCCCTTCTCTCCACTCACCACGTCGGTCCTTGTGATCCGGACACTCACACGCTTGGCCCTTGGGAGCGGCAGGGCCCCGGACGCCGGGGCCTCAGGGCTCAGCTCAGGGTCCCGAGGGCCGCCATGGGCCCGCCAGGGCCAGCTGCAGCGTTGGCAGGAGGGGGGGCTGGGGCTGCTGCCACGTGACCCTCCAGCTGTGCGCGCGGACAGCTGGAGTTCAGCTCCACCCAGGCGACTCGGGGAGTGCCATCTCGGAATGGGGATCCTAACAGGCAACTCTGAGAATTCCCGGAGAGGTGGGTTCTGGTCTGGATACAAAATCCCCAAATCTGCTTTTCAGGGGGCGGGGGCAGGAAAAGGCAGCCTCTGGTCTTTTGGTATTCAGTCCAGGACTCTGTCTTCCCTTGCCTCTCTCCCCATCCATCCTGGGAGTACATTGCCTCTGAAGAGACAGACTTAAGTGCTTACCTGTGAAATTTATTAAAAACACAGGCCAACCCTGTGTGTGTGTATGTGTGTGTGTGTTTCACCCATTAATTTCACAGGTGAGCACTTAAGCCTGTTTCTTCAGAGGCAATTCTGAGTCCCCAGGTCCCTTAATGCCCCCGGCCAGCATAACCTCCAGGTAGAAATAACCAAGCCTGGGCCACTGCGGGCCAGGTTGGGGAGTTCCTGAAGTAGGCCAGTGAGCAAACAAAGGGTTTGATCTGGGGCCCAGGTGGGCAGAGAGGTACTATGGAGACTTGAGGGCCCAGTCCTTGCCTAGCTCTGCTGCCAGCTCCCTCTTCCTCGAACTCAGTCCCAGAGGAGCCTCGAGCAGAGTCCTCCCCATCCCAACCCACTCTGCTCCAAAGTCTGAGGACAGGCTATGGAAACCAGCACCAATACCCAGCACCATCCTCCTTCCAATGGCTATGCCTGCTCCTGACAACTTACCACCAACGTTCTCCCTTCAAAAGCAAACCCTCCCTCCTGAGCCTCACTTTCCTGATCACAGACCTCTCAGGTGTCTGTTATTCTGTTTCTCCCACCGCCTCACCTCCCAACCCCGCTGTGATCTGGCTTCAGGCTGTACCCACCATGTCCTAGAAATGCCTCCCACCCCAGGAGCCTGATCTGCAGCCTCCGGGTATTCACAGCAGGGGTATTCCCCTGACTTCCAACTCTAGTTTTTCTCCTTGCCCTTGGGGCCGCTCCTTTTCTGGTCAGTGGCCTTCAGGGCCTCCCCCTGGGCCACCCTACCCACTCTGCTCTGTCCATTGGTGCATCTTTAGCCTTGACCGTCTGCTGAACTCAAAACTAAAGCTGTCCTTAGACTCTCCCTGGATGTTCTACAGGAAAATCATGCCCAACTTGTTCCAAACAGAGCAAGCACTTCGCCTCCTCCAGGCCCGCCCGCATCTCAGCAGAAGCCTCACCTTTAATCCAACTGCAAAGCAGAAACTCTGGAGTCCTCTCTCACCTCACTCCTCCACTGCCACCAGGCCCGTTATCCTTTGTCCAAAACATCTCTGTGTCCGTCCCTTCCCTCCATCTCTGCTACTATTGTCCCAGCCGCCTGGGCTTCTCTCTCTCTCTCTCCATCCTCACCAGCTATCCGGCCTCCATTCCTGAAATCCTTTAAAAGACTTCTCACTGACCTTGGGATAAAATCCAAACTGTGAAATATGGCATCCGAGACACCATGCTATCTACCTCCCCCACTCACCAGCCCGTTTCTGCAAATCCACCCATCCCTAGATCCAGCCACTCAAACTTTCTGTTCTAACATCTTTCTCTCTTTCCTCCCCCAGGACACTGCCATTCTCTCACCCTCCCTGCCAATAACCCTCCTTTATTCACACTCATATCTCTCCCAGGAAGCCTCAGCCCTATCTGGGTTAGGCCCCTACTCAGTGCTTATATTTTTCACATCAAGAAACAGGTACCATGCCTGGGCTGGGTAGCTCAATTGATTATAGAGTTTTGTCCCAATAAACTAAGGTTGCAGGCTCCATCCTTGGGGCACATACAAGAAGCAACCAATGAATGCATAAATGGATGGACCAACAAATGGATGTTTCTCTCTACCTTCCTCTCTTTCTCTCAAATCAAAAAGTTAAATATTAAAAGGAAAGAAGAGAAACAGGTAACAATTTATTACTGTTGCTTACTACTTGGGAATCCCATACTGAGTGTGCACTGGGAGCAGGTAGGCTTCCTCTGTCTTGTTCACCAAAGTATTTGTAGCACCCAGGACGATGCCTCATGAGTGATTGTGCAACGGGAGAAGAGTGAAGGGCCGGCCAAAAGTCCCCTCCACCCCCCCTTGTGGGATAGGTGAGGTGAGGCACCCACACACTCTGTCCTTATCTGGGGCAGAATCCCCTATGGCACCCCAGCAGGCATGGCGGGTGTCTGTCTGACTCCCGGAGAAGGCAGTCCATTCTGCCCAGCAGCTCCACTCAGGAGGGTAGTTAAGTCCTGTGACTGGACAGGGCAGCCTTAGCAGCAAGAAGGGACCCTAGAGTCATCCGGGTGCTCCAAACCCTGGCTGGGCCACTGGCCGGCCGTCCTTGTGTGTCTGGTACCCAGCCTAGGCCAGGGTGCTGTCAGGGTTCGCCAGGCCCAGCAAGTCCTCTGCCAAGCTGGTGAGCTCGTTCTCCTCCAGCGCCTCCACCAGGCGCTGCAGCGTGGCGCGGCGGCCCTCGGCCTGCACGAAGCACCGCAGGAGCTGGAAGGCTTGCTCGTACAGCCCCTCGCGCTCGTACTCGTAGGCCAGGGACTCGAGCACCGGGTCCCTGAGCGCGCGGCAGCCGCGCTGCAGGGAGCGCCCAACCTTGCGCCACTTGAGGCCCACTGAGCGCGCAAACGTCTGCTGGTCCTGCAGGTTTAGCGGCCGGTTCACTGCGGGGAGGAGAGGGGAGGGGAGGAGTGGAAAGTGGGGTGAGCTGGGGGCGGGGGGCACACCGATACCCTTCCATTCCCGCCCTGCCATTTCCAGGTGCCCCAGTCTCTCTGCCTTTCCAAGCGCGCCTCACCTATGGGCTGGCCCTGGAACATAAAAGTCTGGCCAGATGGTGGCGCTGGCGGTGGCTTCTCCGGCGGAGACGGGGCCAGGGACTGCGAAGGGGCTGGAGGTACCCCTGCGTTGCCACCCTCCTGGCCCCCTGAGCCAAAAGTCAAGTTCCGGAGCGCGTCCTCCAGCTCCGCGAGTTCCTCGTCCCGCATCCGGTCAGGCTAGGGAGAGGAGTGCTGCGTCGGTGCGGGGGGGGGGGGGGGGGGGTCTTAACCACGCATCCCTGCCCCGCCTCTGGGCCCAGTCCCGCCGCCGCCGCACCTTCTGGGCAAAGATGCAGCTCAAACAGCTTTCCTCGTCTGCCAGCAAGGCGTCCAGCCGCTCCGCGCCGGCGCGCAGCTCCAGTTGCAAAGGCGCCCTGCACAGGGTGAGCGAGGCAGCCAGGCGGGCCTCCAGCGCGGCGCGCAGCGCCCCCTCGCGGTAGGCGCGGAGGAAGCGGCCGCAGGGCTGGCGCCCGCGGAAACGCAGCTGCACAATCAGCTGCGGATCGCTGCGGTGGATCTTGAGCATCTGCAACTCGTCAGGGCTCCCGCTCTCTGCGGAGGCGGGCAGTCAGGCGCCAGACGGTCCCCAACTGGACCGTTCTCCAAGCAGTCGGAGGAGGGGTGAAGCCCACGGTCAGAGCAACCTCCCTAGCCCCCAGGCCTAGGAGCACGGGGTTACCCCAGAGCTCCCAGCCAGAAAACAAAATTGGGATACCAGCATGAAGGCCAGGACCTATTCCAGGGAGTGGGTACCATCCTAGCCCCATCACTGGAGCCCCAAGTTTAGGTGGGCAAAAGGGATGTGCAGAGAGACTTGGCAGCACAGAGCGGGGCGAATGCCCTGGGCAGCCAAAACATCTGGGTAGGGGGCCGGCGGGGAAGGAGCGGGAGGTCTCAGGTCTTAGGCCTCCACCAAGTACGGCTCCTGCTGCCCCAGAGTGGGACCTCCCAACCAGGCTCAGTCTCCTGTCGCCTCTGCCCTGATATGGGAAAGGGGGTCCCCCCCCTGGAAGGTAGTTACTGGGAAGGGGTTCGGGGCAAGGAGTGCTGCAGTGAGAGAGGAAAAGAGGAGAGAGATGTGTGCGATTAGTAGAAAGCAGTGATCTGGCCGGTTGGGGGAGTGGAGGACGTTAGTGCACACATAAGGAGATCATACACAGACACGAAGATTAGCTATCTACACCCAAGGGCGCGTATGGGTAACAAAGAAGACAGCCTAAGCAACCAGACCAGTCCCTGCCATCAAATCTTTTCCCTGCTTGAGGTTAGGCACATGCCCACAGAGTTGAACAGATTGGGAGGGTGTTAGCCCCTGGCCCCGCCCACCACAAGCCTCCCCTTTCCCACCAAGTGACCCAGTCACGCACCTGCCAGTGCAGCCCGCAGAGCCCTGTACACCGCCACCTTCTGCTGGGGATGAGCGTAAGCGTCTGACAGGACCACCTTGTCCAGCGAGGACTCCACAAACAGGTATGCGCTGCCCACCCAGTCCTCCAGCCCATTGGGCCCAGCCGCCATCTCGCCTCCTGGAGATGCAGACAGGCATCCGGATCACCCCCAAACCCAGCCCTGGAGGCGACCCATCCCGTCCCACACGGCCCTGCTGTCCCCATCCAGCTGGCATACTTGCTCACCATCTCACAGGAAGCCCCTGTGTGTCTGGCTCCATGGAGTCCAGCCCAGCTCAGCCCCAACTTTGCAGGGAGGACTGTCCCTCCCTCCACTGCCTTCTCAGAAGAGGAGCCCATGGTCACAGTAGTGAGAGAAGTTATGCCTTTTCCTCAGACCAATTGTCTCTCTTACCAAAGCTGACCGGAGGAGACGTCTTCATCCTGGAGGTACCATGGCCCACGGGGTCCATGTCCTGGTATGCCCTCAGCTTAACCTTGAGCTCCCAGGATCCCTTAGGTCAGTGGTTGGCAAACTCATTTGTCAAAAGAGCCAAATGTCAACAGCACAACGATTGAAATTTGAGAGCCGAAACCGACTTCTGCGCATGGGCCACGAAGTTTCGATCGCACTGGACTTAGGCGCCCGCACGTGGTATTTTGTGGAAGAGCCACACTCAAGGGGCCAAAGAGCCGCATGTAGCTCGAGAGCTGCGATGTGCAGACCCCTGCCTTAGGTCCTGAGGCTTAGGACCACAGCCCCCCTCCCACCACAGAAGCGTTCCCACCTGCATTCCTAACTGCACATTCTGACTTCACGTCAACCGATACCCACAGTTTGTGCCTGCCCAGGTTCCTTTCCCCCATCCTGATGGACTTTTGGGGGGCCTTCTCACTTCCCTTTAATCCACGTGCCTGTTGGGAGGGCTAACCCCACTCCCTAACTCCCGGTGTGGGCATGTGAAACGGGTCAGGCCAACCTGCATATTCCATTCACCTTTCTAAAATTAGTTCCGAGTCGGGCAGATTTCAAGACAGAACAAGCAACCTTGGCTGGACCGAGAGGAAAGAAGCGCTAGTTTCTCTTCCCATGGGGCTGAGCTGGAAGGAAGGGGAGGTCTCCCTCCCTTGGCACTGCTTGGGAAGAGCTTGAATGAGAATGACACTGACAAAGGAAACAGAGCCGGGAGAGGAGGAGCTGCACACCATGCCCCTGGCTTCTGGCTCTAGCTGCACCTGGGACTTTTCCGTTATGTGAGCTAATCATTCCTTTTAGTTCTCGGAGAGGGGCTCTTGTCCTCATGCCACTGAAATTGTTCCATTACAGATTCCTTCCCTGCTCAGAGAGAACCAGGGCCCATGGCTCTGGTATATCCTCCAACTACTGACAAAATCCTAGCCCTAGACCAGGGGCAGAATTCCCAACCAGGGAGCCACACTGCGCTGACCTTCAGTTCAGTGGCCTCCTAGTTACAGTGCCACCAGGCCTGCTCCTTCCTCCCCACCTCACCAGAGGCGACATTCCACCCTCATCCTATAAACACGGGCTCAAACCCCACCTCCTGCCCCATCAGCCTTGGCTCCCTGGTCTCGGGCATTTATGGATGGTGGGCTGGGTGCTGAGCCCCAGTGAGCACCTGCACTGACTCATTGCTCAGTTCGCAGTCCAGATGGGGTGGTCTCAGCTGGCATCTGTGTACGGAGGGACAGGGAGCCTCAGGGGAGGGATGCCAGAAGGGGCCGGGACCATAGGCATGGATGTTGTTGGGGAGGCCGTTTCAGGTCTGCCCCAGACCTTACCCGGAGAGCCAAAGCCTGGGCAGTCCCTGGGCAGAGGCCACGCGGCACCCCCCAGTCCTGGCGATGGGTCTGAACACAAGGAAACGGCTTTTGGGCTCCCCACCCCTGCACCAACAGCCTTTTGGTAGAAAACATATCAATACTTGTGTGTTTACCCAAAACAATGCTCTATGGGAATGGAGATTTTTTTTGTGTGTGGGGGGGTAAGTTCAGTTGTTATTGTATTTAGCAATATTCTACTTCATGCAAAATACATGTCCTTTGTAATGAAAAAGCAAAATTAATTGGTTTTCCTTAAAAAGAAAAAAGCCGGGACCGGTTTGGCTCAGTGGATAGAGCGTCGGCCTGCGGACTGAAAGGTCCCGGGTCCATTTCCAGGCCAGGGCATGTACCTTGGTTATGGGCACATCCCCGCTGGGGGGTGTGCAAGAGGCAGCTGATCGATGATTCTCTCTCATCGATGTTTCTAACTCTCTATCCCTCTTTCTTTCTCTCTGTAAAAAAATCAATAAATATATTTTAAAAAAACAACCCAAAACGGGACAAGTGAGGCCAGGTAGGGAGACAAGAGGGGAGCCCTGGGGCAGAATGTAAAAACCTTCCCTGGAAACGCCTGCTCTTCCATCTTTTCTTAGTCCCTGACTTGAAGGTGCAGACCCCACGGGTGGATGTGGCCCCGCCCCACGTGGAGGAGGGGGCGGTAGGGACAAGCCGGAGTCCGCCCAGCAGGCTTTCCGGGGGAGGAGGAGGGCGGCTGGAAACCTGGAGGAGCGGGGCGCTCCATCCCTCACCAGGGCTGGACCAATGGGGGAAGTCAGACAGGCCTGCCGGGGCCCCTGGCTCCTCGTCCCTGGGGAACTCTTCCCGCGCCTCCTTCCACGGAAGCCCCTCCTCGGGAAGCCCCAGCCCCACCCTCCGGGAGCCTGCCTCTCTTGGGCCGGGCCAGGATGGGCCCCGGAAACGCCGAGCTGGGCTGAGACTGAGAGACACGTGGGTACCGACTGACTCAAGAAAATACACCTCCACAACCAGGGGCCATCGCCCCATTCACACACCCTAACAGTGAGGGAGGGGCCGGGGAGGGGGAACAGCCCCCTCTGGCCGGGTGAGGGGCATCAGCCTGCGGGCGTGAACCCTAGAGGCCTGGAAGCCTGCGACTCCTAGCATGCAGGCTGCAGGCGCGCCCCTTATTCGGCTGCCCCCCTTCGGAGCCCTGCAGGGGAGCCCCCAAACCTCCCTCTAGCCTCCCCCATCACGTTGGGATTTCTCACGCACGACTGGTGGGCACGGGGGCAAGAGATCTCTGCTCACAGATTCAACACCAGCTTCGCCTTCTCACCTGCGGCCTCTCAGAAGCCCCTAGCTGGGCCATGGGACCTGGGGGCCAAGGTCCGTACCCTTTTTCCTGCCTCCCACGTAATCAGCCCCATGGGCCACGCTACCGCCTGGCCCGCCGGGGCAGCCGCGATGACACCCTCATCGCCTCCGCGGTCCTGAGCCAGGACCCCCTCTGCGGCCGCCAGCACCGCGAAGCCGACCCTCTGCACCCACCCACCGCCTGCACCCACCTGGCCCCCGGGCCCGGCCCGGACTCCCGCGCCAGCTCCGCCGGGTCCGCGCCGCTTCCGGGTGTGCGCCCGGCGCAGGGGCGGCGCCCAGCCCGAGCCGCCCCGTCCGCCCCGTCCGCCCCGGGCCCGCCCCCGGGCTCCCCGGGCCCCTGCTCGCCCCGCAACGCCCTCCGCCGCGAGCCCCCAGCCTTCGGGCCCGGCCTACCGGGTCCCCGAGCAGGTAAGACCCCGGCGTCCGAGGGGAGACGGCAGGAAAAGCTGCCCGCGGCGGCGAGGGGCTCCGGGGACTCAGGGCTCTAACGGGACCACCCGGCTCCGGGGCGAGGAGCTGCCCCGCTGCCTCGGGCGGGAAACAGACCGATCAGATCAGCCAGGGGGCGTCCCCCGGGGACCAGAATTTTCCGGTGCTTTCTGGGGGGCCGAGCTCGGTGATCTCTGATCTCTGCTGCTCCCTGGCACCCAGACACGGGGTGCCGGTGGGTTTCAGGTTGAAGCCTGATCGAGGAGGAATTCCAGCAGGAAGCGTTCGTCTGGGAAATACGGGGAATCGAAAACTGGCAAGCGGTGTGAAACGTGGTGTAGGAAACCCTTCAAGCACCTTAATATAAAGCTGGCAGCTTTAAAAGAGGATGCACACTTTGCAACAACGCCCTCCCTCCGGGGGAAGGCCGCCCTCCGGGTGGATCTGGGGAATCTCAGCTGAGTCTGGGAGGCTGGGCCGCTCTGGGATCAAGGTAGGAACTTGAACCCAGAGCCCCAAGCTTTTCTCCCGCTAGTTTCTCATTGGACGCTCCCAGGACGTCTGCCCCGGGAGCGGAGGAAGGGAGAGGGCATTCCCCTCTCTGGGCGGATTCAACGGTGCCCCCACCCTCTCCTCCGCTTCCTGATTGGCTATGGTTCCTGTCAATCATAAGTCTTCCCTAACGCTCCCGCCTTATTAACCCTATTGTCACTCTCTAGGGACCGGCGAGGCTAGTAGGGAGGCAGGCGTTTGTTTACTGGCCTGTGGAGTCCACCGGCGCTTGTTGAAATGCAGATTCCTGGACCCTACTCTTCCCAGAGAGTCTGATTTAGTAGACAGGGCCGCGGATTCTGTGTGGGGAACAAATGTCGGAGTGGCTCTGGGCCCCTCGCAGTCTGAGAAGCCCTCATTTCAGTGGCCCTGCAGGTAGGGCTTGGGCCCAGTCCTTGCCTAGGCCTGAGGGTCCAAGCTGGGAAGGAAGCAGTTCCGTGACCCCCGAAGGCCGGTCTGGGCAGCTCTGAGTGTTATGTATAGGAAGGCAGGGGGAGGGGAGGTGTTATGAGTCAGGATGGATGAGGAGGACCAGGCTGGATGAGGAGAACCAGGCTGTTCAGAGTCAGGGCCTATACAGTCGCCTTCCGACTTCTCTAGGGAAAGACCCTAGTAACTGGAAGGAAGATCAGACAGCGTTGTCTAAGACCAGGGCACTTGAACTTCATCAACCTGGCGCGTAGGTCGTGCTTGCTTTCCTTTTAATACTGTATAAAATGGGGGGTTTTCTCCCCCAATAAGTGATAACATAGTTTAAAGGATAATCAGATGTTCTTCTCTTTTCCCTTCTAAAATGAGCAAATAAATCAGAAACCCTTCAGCATCCAGGGCCGACTTCCTGAGGGCGAGACCTGTTTTGAAGGAGCACTGCATTTTCATGTTGCACCGGGCTCCACAGATTGTGTATTAGCTCCTGGGCCACAGGGATTTCCACACACAGGCTCTGGTGTTCCCCTCCACACTCTGGCTTTCCGGGGGCCCAGGGACATCCTTCTCTCTCCACGCCAGAGCTGCTGGAGGCCCCCACCTCAGCAATGGCTGAGCCTGGAAAGCAACTGCCCGAGGAGGTGCTGGCGCTCATCTTCCGCCACCTGCCCCTGCGGGACCGCGCTGCCGCCGCCAGGGTCTGCAGAGCCTGGGCTGCTGCCGCCGTCTGCAGCGCTGTGTGGCATGACACGGACATCAGGTGAGCCCGTTCCTCCCCTCCTTCCTCCTGCCACCTGCCCGTCTTCTCCCTCTCTCCGTGGAGTCTGGGGATTGGGGAGATTAAGGGACTCCCTGTATTAAAAAGAATAATAGTGACTAACGTTTATTGACTGCCCAATATGTGCCATTGTTATAAGTGCCTTACGTATGTTAATTAGCAGATAGCGGTATTATGTCCATTGCACAGGTAGAAAATTGAGGCCGAAAGAGTTCAACACTTCCTGCAAGTCACTCCGCTAGGGTGTAGCAGAAGCGGAATGTGAACGTGGCTATGCGTGTCTCCTTAGAGAGTTCCTAAAACCCTGGCTCTCCTGGCCAGTTTCCACTTCTGTCAGATGCATCTGAAGGCTTTTAAAGGGACAGGGTGGGAGTTCCCAGGGAGGTCTGTGGGTAGGGAGCAGAAGGGGAAGGCAGTTGAAACCAGGCTGAGGGATGGGTAGAGGCTTCCTTTCTGCCCTCGGGGGACACAGCCCATGCTTTTCCCCCACCCCAAGTTGCTGCTGTGCGCAAGAAGGCATGCTGCCACCGTTTCTGTCAACCTGCCTGGACCACATTCGCCATCTGCGCCTGGAATTTGAGCCATCGAAGGAGCCGAGCCGCCGGGTGGCCACGGAGCTGCTGACCGCGCTGGCGGGCCGGACCCCAGGACTCCGAGGCCTGCGCCTGGAGTGCCGCGGGGAGAAGCCGCTCTTCGACGCGGGCCGCGACGTCCTGGACGCCGTGCGCGCCATCTGTCGGGCCGCTCGCGAACTGCGCCACCTCGACCTGCGGCGCCTGCCCTTCACTCTGGACGACGCGCTGGTGCTGCGGGCGGCGCGCGGCTGCCCCGACCTCCGCAGCCTTTTCCTGAACAACGGGACGCTGGTGGGCAGCGTGGGGCCGGGCTCCGTGCTCGAGCTGCTGGAGGCCTGCCCGCGCCTGGGCACCCTCGGCCTGCACTTGGCCAGCCTGTCCCACCCCGCCCTCGAGGTGCTGGCGGCGCCGGGCCGCGCGCCTTTCGCTCTCCTGGCGCTGCGGTGCGCCTGCCCCGAGGACGCACGGGCCCCCGCTCTGCCCAACGAAGCCTGGGCCGCGTTGCGCCGCCGCCACCCCGGGCTGGTGGTGGAGGTGGAACTGGAGCCCGCCATGCCCGCGGAGAGCGTGACGCGCGTCCTGCAGCCCGCCGTGCCGGTGGCCGCGCTGCGCCTCTGCCTCTCCGGGGACAGCGCGGGCCCGGTGCGCTTCGCCGCGCTGCACTACGCCGCCACCCTGCGCGTGCTCGAGGTGCGCGCCGCCGCTTCGGCCGAGCTGGACTCGGCGCTGGAGCTGCTGGCGGGGCGCTGCGCGGGCCTGCGCGAGGCGCACTGCTTCTGCGTGGTGCGGCCCTCCGTGCGGCACGCCTTCCTCGCGCACTGCCCGCGCCTGCGCAGCTACACGCTCAAACTAACGCGGGAGCCTCATCCCTGGCGGCCCACGCGTGTGGCGTGATGGGGGCAAGCCCTCTTCCGCCCCTACCCCTAGCAGGCGTGCGGCCACTCAGATGCCAGGTGGTGGGTGGGTTTGCCCAAGAGAGGGCCAGCTGCTAACCTGCTCCTTCAGGACTCTGTTGCCACTTGTGCCTCTCGAGGATTTGTGGGGGAGTGGAGGGGTGTCCTGCGTCCACTCCATGCCCTCAACATCTGCAGATGGCCCCGCGATGTGCCTGGGGTACTGGGATCACCCCCCTCCAACCTCCATCCTCTGAGCATGCTGCGCTAGCTCCTCACCCCCCTCTCCCCACCCCCTCCCCAAGCCCCGGTGGGGTGGGAGGGGCGGGCACAAGGCCAGGCCGAGCCTCGGGGTAAGTGTGAAATAAACCAAGCCTGCAGGACTTCTGCGTCGCGTGGAAGACCTGGTCTGCTCTGAAGGGGGAGGGCAGGGATCCTGCAGGGGTCGGTGGAGGAGTGGGAGAGATGGAGACCTCAAGGTCCGTTGAACTGAAACAGCTGCGAGAGGGAGGCAGAGGTGCTGCAAAGCCCCAGGATTCCGGAGGGATCCGGTGTGTGTGTGTCCGTTTCTCCTCCGCCCTCCCTTCTCCGCTCCTCTCCTACCGCTCTGAGGCTTCCCCGTGCCCGTGGCCTTCGCTTTCTACGACTTCGCCAGCGCGCACCGGGCTGTTGCTTCCGAAGACAAATGGGAGACATAGCGGCTCTGAGAAGAGTGGAACTCGAACCCAGGCCCCCTCTCCCCGACCCCCCTATACCCCTACACATACGGGATCCCAGCCTGCCCTTTCTGCCTGTGCTGGGGCGGCCCGGGCCGAGCCCCGCCCCGCGGTGCACGTGGCCCCCAGCTGACCCGGCGGGAGGCGGAGCGGGCAGGCGGGCGGCACACACAGCACTTTCTGGGGTCTGGCCGGGCCGCGGGGACCGCCGGCCGAGCGCTGAGCCGGAGCAGGCAGAGAGGCACCATGCTGGAGGCGCCAGCCGCGCCGCCTGCGGAGCCGGGTCCCAGCCCCGTGCCCGCCTTCCTGGGCAAGCTGTGGGCGCTGGTGGGCGACCCGAGCACAGACCACCTGATCCGCTGGAGCCCGGTGAGGTCTGGGGGGGCCCTTCACGCCCCCAGTGGGACTCGGGGTTCCTCCAGAGTCAGTGACCATCCACTCCCAGCCAACCCCCGCCCGGGACGGCGGCTGCGGGTTTCTCGATGCAGCGGTCCAGGGGGGTTTATCCTGGAGGGGGTGTGCGCCGTGGAGGTGAGGTGACCTCCGGGCGGGGAAAGAGAAGGAGCCTTCTGGAAACTTAAAAAGGATCTTGAGGGTCGTTTAGTTCCCACACCAGCCCATCAAGCAGATGGGAAAACAGAGGCCAGGAGAGGAGAAGGGCTGGGTCTGTCTGGTTCTAGCTCAGAGTCCCATCACCGGGCTGGCACCCGTGTGCGGGGCTGGAACCCAGGTCTGGCCTCTGCAGCTCCTTTCTGAGAGCCAGGTGGGGAGTCGGGGTCCAGCTGGGGTAGGGATTCATGGTGATCCCTCCAGGCCAGGCATCGGGCTGGCTCTAGCCTGGCCTCATCCCTTGTTCCTGAGGGACAGGTCGGGTCCCAGAGCGAGTGTGTGTGTGAGTGTGTGTGTGTGTGTGTCTCTGAATGTGCCTGTCTCTGTGTGTGTGTCTGTCTCTGTGTATGTCTGTGTGTGTGTGTGTCTGTGTCTCTGTGTGTGCCTGTGTGTGTCTGTGTGTGTGTGTGTCTGTCTCTGTGTGTGCCTGTGTGTATGTCTCTGTGTGTGTGTGTATGTGTGTGCCCGCGCGCCATGGACGTCTCTCACGGTGTCCTCCGGTCTCTGGTCTCCGGTCCCGGGTGGGAGGGCGGCGCTCTCCTCAGAGCGGGACCAGTTTCCTCGTCAACGACCAGAGCCGCTTCGCCAAGGAGGTGCTGCCCCAGTACTTCAAGCACAGCAACATGGCGAGCTTCGTCCGGCAGCTCAACATGTGTGAGTCCGGGTCCGGGCAGGAATGGGGAGGTGGTGGGGGCGGGGGGAGGACTTGGTGGGAGGGGATGGGCCCTTTGCAGCTCCGCGCCGCCCCGCAGACGGCTTCCGGAAGGTGCTGAGCATCGAGCAGGGAGGCCTGCTCCGGCCCGAGCGCGACCGCGTGGAGTTCCAGCACCCGAGCTTCGTGCGCGGCCGCGGGCAGCTGCTGGAGCGCGTGCGGCGCAAGGTGGGGCCGCCGCGGGACGGGAGGGCGCACCGGGCGGGGGCGGGGGCGGGGGACGGAGGAAAGGGGGTGGGGGGCGGGGGCGGGGGGCGGAGGGTGGGAACGGCTGGCCAGGTTTCATGTGACCCAGGCCCCGCCGTGCCTCCCCCCTGCAGGCGCCCGCACTGCGCGGTGAGGACGGCCGCTGGCGCCCCGAGGACCTGGGCCGGCTGCTGGGCGAGGTGCAGGCTCTGCGGGGAGCGCAGGAGAGCGCGGAGGCACGGCTGCGGGAGCTCAGGCAGTATGGGGAGGGAGCTGGGGGGAGGGGGGTCCAGGGCGCGGAGGAGGGTGGGAAAGGGGGAGGGGAGCGGGGAGTCTGGGGGAGAGGACACTGAAGTTCTAGACAGCTCCTTCCTCTGTCGAGTCTTGGCGCCTCCATCCAGACAAAGTGGGCAGGGCTGTGGGACTCTGTTCTCTGTGGGTGATGATCATCCGGTGGCTGCGAGCTGGGACTTGCCAGTCTGCCGGGAGTGGTGGCTGGGACAACTCTCAGATGCCTCAGCCCCTTCCCACCCCTTCTCCCAGGCAGAACGAGATCTTGTGGAGGGAGGTGGTGACTCTGCGGCAGAGCCAGGGCCAGCAGCACCGGGTCGTGGGCAAGGTATTCCTCCCCCCACACCGACCGACTTCTCTCTTTCCCACTCCAGAATACTCCGCCAGTCCTCTGCCCACCTGAAAGTGCCTTGTTAGGATGGGGCAAGGTCCAAAGGGCGAATTAACCCTTTGCTTCCTCTTCAGCTGATCCAGTGTCTCTTTGGGCCACTCCAGGCTGGGTCCAGCAACCCAGGAGCTAAGAGGAAGCTGTGAGTGAGAAAGCTAGGGACACCTACCTGCCCTCCACCCCCCATCCAGCACCTTCCCTGCCTCCTCCTCCAGAAACCCCTTCCTCAGAATCCTCATCCCTCTACCCCCATACCAGTCTTCCTCTCCCTAAAGCCATCTCCCCAAGACCCCCCCCCCCTTGCAGGACTTTCCCCCACTTCCCTCAACTTCACCACCAAAACCCAACTCTCAGATCCCTCAGCTCTAGGACCTTACCCCCAAATTTCCACATCAGCAGCCCCTTCTCCTTTCCCCCAAAGCATCCCAACATCAGAGGGTCTGGGGTTCAAACCATGCTCCGTCCTACCCCCTTTCTACCCCCAAAGGGCCCCCACCTCTGGAGGGGCCCCCTCTGCCTTCAGCATGTGACTGATGCCCTGGCAACAGGCCTCAGCTCTGCTGACTTGGCTGCTGGGGCCTGAGGGCAGGAGGGAGGTGGTGCAGACTGTGGGGCCTGAGCTGAAATCCGAATCCTGCCACCTGCACAGGTCCCTGATGCCGGATGAGGGGAGCTCCTGCCCAACACCGGCCAAACTCAGTGCCTGCCCGCTCCCCGGTGCCCTCCTGCAGGACCCCTACTTTATCCAGGCGGTGGGTTTTGCTTCTCTTTCCTTCCCTAGGGCACGGCTGGGCTTATGGAGAACCTATTCCTTTCCCCCCCTCTCCCCCCAAAAAAGAGAAGATGGAGGTCAGCCTCACCCTCCATTCCCCACCCCTCACCCCCAGACCAGGCTCCCCAGCATGGGCTGCAAAACATCCCCCTTAGACCTGGTCCATGTGGGTACTGATTGGGTTCTGGCTTACCCTGTGGCTTGAGGTGAAGGGTTAGGCCTAACCTTCTACTTTCAGCCCCTCCCAGAGACCCCCTTGGGCCTCGGCAGTCCTCACAGGGCCAGGGGACCCATCATCTCTGATATCCCAGAAGACTCTCCAGCCCCTGAAGGCACCAGCCTTCCTTCCTCCCGCGTTGGCAAGAGGTAGGACAAACAGACAGGGGCTGCCCTCTGGGGAGAGCCTGGCAGTCCGGGTGGCTGTGGGGCAGGGGAGCGGTCAGTGCCAGGGTCTGGTTGAAGCTTTTCTCTGGCACAGGGACAACAGCCAGGCGTTGCTCAAAGAAGAGCCAGCCAGCCCAGGAGTGGACAGCCAAGCTGGACAGGCCCTGGCCCCAAACGAGTGTGGGTTCTGTGTGACAGCCCCACCACCGCTGCCTATGGCTGTGGTGCAGGCCATCCTGGACGGGAAAGGGAGCTTCAGCCCCGAGGGGCCCAGGAGTGCCCCACAGCCTGAGCCAAGGGGGCCCAGGGAGGTACCTGACAGGTGAGCAGAGAACCGTTCCTGACTGTGAGCCCGGTGGGCCAACTTTGGCAGGTAGACCAGCACGAAGTAGGTCCTTGTCACTTCCCAGCCTTGTCTGCCCCCTGGTGGCTGAGGAGGATGGTGGGTACTATGAGATGATGGGTACCTGACTTCTCAGAGCTGCTCTAAAGAGTACCAGCATCAGGCCCTAGCCAGTTTGGCTCAGTGGTTGGAGCAGCCTATGGACCAAAAGGTCTGGGAATTGTTTCCCGTCAAGGGCATGCACCTCAGTTGCAGGCTCCTCCCCAGCCCAGACCCTGATCAGGGTGACATTTCTCTCTATCTTTCCCTTTCTCTTCCACTGTCTCTAAAAACCAATGGAAAAATATCCTTGGGTGAGGATTAAAAGAATAATAATAAACCCTAACAGGGTTGGCTCAGCGGATAGAGCATCGGCCCGCGGACTCAAGGGTCCCAGGTTCAATTCTTGTCAAGGGCATGTACCTTGGTCAAAGGCACATCCCCAGTAGAGGGTGTGCAGGAGGCAGTTGATCGATGATTCTCTCTCATCGATGTTTCTAACTCTCCCTCTCCCTCTCTGTAAAAAAAATCAATAAAATATATTTAAAGAAATAAAATAATAAGAGGACCAGCATCAGAGGTCTTGGAAAGTGGAAACATCTCTGTGGTAGGGCTTAGGAATCTGCATTTTAACCGGGTCCAGTGAGGTGGTTGTAAAGATTGTAAAATACACAACAGTTTAAGAACCACTGGCTTTGGCAATTGCAAAGGGAGGGGACGCATCCCAGGATCCCAGCTTTACAACCCAGTCCTCAGGCCAAAGGTAGGAGGCGGAGGCACTCCCAGGTACCCCTCTCTTAGGGTTCCCTCCATACCATTTTCTAGATATTGTCAGATGTAGACCCTGATGTATCCAGGTTCCTCGGAACCTAATTGGAGGGGGAGTGGTCCTGCAGGCCAACAGCAACTTTCTGTGCACAGGGGGCCTCTGGGCCTGGAGAGCAGGGGCCAGAGCCCAGAGAGCCTGCTGCCTTCAATGCTACTTCGGGCCCTCCCTGAAAGTGTGGAGCCTGCGGGGCCGCTGGATGTGAGTACACTTTCAGCGGGGCACGGGGCAGTGCATCCTGGGAGGGGCGCCATTGACCCAGAGCTCTCCCAGGTGCTGGGCCCCAGCCTTCAAGGGCGGGAATGGACCCTGATGGACTTGGACATGGAGCTGTCCCTGGTAAGACTGGGGTGGGAGGGGCAGGGGCAGGGGCAGGGGTAGGGATTTGGGGGTTGCTGAGCTGTTCTCTCAGCCGGAGACCTCTCTCCTTTCCCCGGCTGCTTCTGTGGGGTTCTCCCATGCAGATGCAGCCCTTGGTTCCAGAGAAGGGTGAGGCGGAACTGGCTGTCAAGGGGTTAAATTCTCCAGACTCAGGTAATGGTCCCGGTGACCCAGGACCTGGGGGGGCAGGCCCTGGTTGACCAGAACTACCATGATTGGGTGGGCGGGGCAGTTTGTGTTTGGGGGGGGCACCCTTTGAGGGTTTAGGCTGCCCCCTAAAGAGCTGCTGAAGTCATCCATCCCCTCACTCTAGGTGAGAGTGGGGGGGTTGAGAATGGAAGTTTCACCCTAGCGGAATAGAGGGGAGATGGGTGAGGCTCCCCTTCCCTGCTGAGCACGGCCCCACTCCTCCTAGGGGAGGACTCCGCTCTTGGGACACCCCTCCTGCTGGACGTGCAGGCGGCTCTGGGAGGCCCAGCTCTCGGCCTGCCTGGAGCTCCCCGCTGAGAGCCGGGCCTCCTACCTGGGTCCCGGGGCTGATCCCTTCTCGCCCTGAGCCTCTAGGCTGAAGCCAGCCTGGCTGAGGGCTGCCTGCAGCCTCACGCCCTCCCGAGGCCCCTGGCGGAGGCTGAGCGGAGACCCTGCTACTCAGAGGCCCCCTCCCACTGCAGCACCAAGTTATGCACATAAATCGCATTTTTTTCTGTGCTTCTGTTTATTTTTTAAATTAATTTCTTTATTGATTAAGGTATCACATATTTGTCCTCAACCCCCCATTCCAATCCCCCCCATGCCCCTACCCCCCCCCCCACACACACACACATTGTCCTTGACCACTGGTTAGGCTCATACGTGTGCACATAAGTCCTTTGGTTGATTTCTCCCTTTTATCCTCACCCTCCCTTTGAGGTCCAACCCATGGTTTCTGTGCTTCCGGTCTCTTCTCTCTACCGACCAGAAAGCACAGAGGCCTGGGGGGAAGGAGGCTGATTTTGCTTTTATAGAAGCATCCAGGTCCTAGAGCTTTAATGGAGAAACGCATTCCTGGGGAGTGGAATGCTGGGGATCCTGCTCCTAGTTCCACGGCTTAGGCCTGGATCCTCCGGGAATTGGGGTTTTTTTTGGGGGGGGGGGGCACACCCAGCTCCGCAATGAATCCGCTCTGGGATCCTGATCCTGTTAGGAAGATGGGAGTGAAGCGCCTGGGAGTTGCCAGGCCCACAGCGGGCGCCGCGTGCGTGGGCCCGCGGACCACGCTGCACCCTCACTGACTCACCCTGCGCGCCCGGAGCGGGGGCGGGAAAGCGGACTGCGTGTGGGAACCCAGCAAAGAGCCGCTCCTGGCTGCCAGAGGCAGCTCTCCCGCACCCCTCCCGGTTCCCGGCAGCCCTGGCCGCCCCGCCCCCGCCCCGCGGCAGCTGCTGCTCCCATCCCAGCCCCGCCCGCCCCGCTCTTTCTGCCGTGTCATCTCCCCGCCGAGGCTCGACCCGTGAGTGGGGCCGCACGGAGCCACTGGGGGAGGGAGAAAAGCTGAGATCGTGTAAAATCCGAGCCCCCACGGGCAGTGCTCCCAGGTCTGGGAGGCCCGCCCCTCCGGAGCCTCTAACCCTGGGACCCGGTGTAGGGAAGGGGAAGGGAGTCTGTGGTCGCACCTGCCAAAGGCTCCCTAGCAAAGGAGCCCGTGGAGCCAGGTGGGGAGGGGGGCCGAGACCCCCCCCCCCACCTCCAGGCCTGGAACTTGGAGCTTCCTGGTGCCCGGGAAGGATCTGGCCCGTGACCCTTGAAGGACTGCCGTGCCCACAGCATAACCTAGGTACAGTATTAACTTCTGAGCTTGGAGTCTCAGAGGGAGGGCCTAGGTCAGTGGGGTTTCTGTATCCAAACAGGACCAAGCACAGGCCATGGCAATGGGAGGAGGAGGCTAACATAAAAGTAACTGGAAGAAGTGAATTTCATAGAGCACTGGTCAGCAAACTGTGGCTTGTGAGCCGCGGTTTGCTGCTCTGTTGACTAATGAGTTTGCCGACCACTGGGATATGGGCTTAATAACAAGGAACAACAACAGCCTGTAATTATTGGAATCAAGAGTCTAGGTCAGTGATCGGCAAACTCAGTCAACAGAGCCGCAGTTTGCCGACCACTATTATGGAGTATTCCGACTTTTGCTCTCACTTGGATAAAAGTTCAACCATAATATCCAGATTCTGATTTTAGAGGATTTAAATCATTATCAGTAAATATTTAAGTAATTTATTCTTACTGGGAAGTTACATAGGTACTGAGACTATGCAAAAGAATTAAAAAAAAAAAAAAGTAACTTGGTTAGGAGTGAGGGAGAATGAGGGGCTTCACCGATCTGCCTCCTCCCTCTCTGCACCTGCACAAGCCTGGGTTCTGTCCCCTCTGCCTTCTTGCACCTGTGTTTGGAGGCAGTCTTTAGAAACCTCAGCTGAAGAGGGTAGGGGGTCCCCGTGCAGAGATGTCAGCTAGTGTAGTGCTGAGGGCATGCACTGTACACAGGAGAAGAGGTGAAACAGTCTGTCTGTAACACACTCAGGCATCGGAGTGGACGGGGGGTGACATTTATTTGAGACTCGGAGGATAGGTCCACAGCTTGGAAGGGGGAGGGTAAGGGGGTATTTCAGGCTTAAGGAATAGCATCTACTAAGGTTCAGAAACGACAGGGGCTTAATTAGTTCTCCTAATTGAGGGTTGGGGAAAGTGGGGGGAAGCCTTGCTGTCCAGGAGGTGGGAGAGTGGCTAGGCCAGACAGTCTGAATTCTCTCCGATGGGCAGCGGGGAGCAGGGGCCAGGTAGTTAGGGCTGCCATTCTGCTTGGCAGGAGGCCTCACTGTAATTCAGGATGGAGCGGGTCAGATTGCTGTTCTGTACCTTGGTCTCTCCGATCCTGTCTTCTCACCTGTAAAATGGGGACAATAAATCCTGCTCCAGAAAGCTGTTGAAAATCTCTGTGGGGGTGATGAGATGGGAGGGAGAGACACTCAGAGAGACTGTCAAAGGAGATGAGGTGAGGATGGTGGGGTTTGGGGGGGGTGCCGATAGAGACTTGCTGAGAGGTGGAATAGCAGCATTTGCCACAGGTGGGGCATGAATGGAAGGGTCAGGGGCAGGAGTCCTAGTCTCTGATCAGTAACCTGGGGGAAGGGTTGATGCTTCAGTATGACCAGGGAGGCACAGCATGACACCAGGTGGTAATGAGAGAGACCTGGGAGGCCGGAGGGGCCTAGGGCCAAATCTGCTCTCCCAGCCCTAGAACCTGGTAAGGAGGTAGAGGGGACCCAAAGGGAGGATGAGACTGGAAGGACAACACTAAAGCTGGAGGAACTAGGCTGAGGGAGTGGTCCAGGGCCTGACCGCTTTGCCTCTTAAGCCAGGGGATGGGCCATTGTCCCCAGGTGCCAATAAGTAGACACAGCAGATTAATTTCTGCCTGACACCTGCTGTTTGGTAGAAACAATCTCTCATGTGATGCATGGAGGGAAACAGTAAAAGTTCGGTAAGCATTTAAAAATAAATTGTTGGTAGGTTGTTGTTTTTTTTAAGTTTGGCTCTGGGTACCTCATGATGAAGCACGAGGTGGCTATGAGCCATTCCCAGGGCAGCAGGGAGACAGCTGGGTCTCATGCAGGTGATCCAGGAGATGCCAGGAGATCTTGGTCAGAGTTAGGAGTAAAGAGAATTCAGGTATCTCTCTGCTCGGGGATTAGAGAACCAGGAAGGGCCATGAGACCACACTGGGGTTGCAACATGGTAGTGGCCTTGGTGAGGGGGTGCCCTGAAAGATGGATCTCGGGTCCGGATAAGGGGTGTGGTCATTCTCCATTCTCCAGTGGGTGAGAGAAGCAGGGGAGGATCTCAGCTCTGCGCTCTAGGTGAGGAGGCCAGTCGGGGCTCTGAGGTCTAGGCTGGAGGTGAAAGCTATGGGAATAGCAGAGACTGGGAAGGACTTGCAAGCTGGGTGTGAGATCTTTGCCTGTTAAGGCAGGCGGGGGAGCAGGTTTGGGAAAGAGAAGTCAGCTTAGATACACTGGGTCTGAACACATGGCAGTGTCTGCAGGCGGCTGGGGCTCAGGAGGGAGATCCTGGTTGGGGAGAGCGGTCAGAAAGTAAAGGGTCCTGGGAGAGGTGAGGAGAGGAGGGCCACACCTGATGTTTAGGGACCCAAGGAGAAGCCAGAGGAAGAGATTAAGGTTAAGGCGAACTTAGATCCCAGCCACCGGTGTTCCCTGGGACCCTGGGAGAGAGGTCAAGGGCGGGGAAACCCTGGCCCCCAGTGCCTCTCTCTACCCCTCCCCAAGGACCCCCACGATGGGCAACTCGCAGGAGAGGCCGTCTGAGACGATCGACCGCGAGCGGAAGCGCCTGGTGGAGACGCTGCAGGCGGACTCGGGGCTGCTGCTGGACGCGCTAGTGGCGCGGGGCGTGCTCACCGGGCCCGAGTACGAGGCGCTGGACGCGCTGCCCGACGCGGAGCGCAGGGTGCGCCGCCTGCTGCTGCTGGTGCAGGGCAAGGGCGAGGCCGCCTGCCAGGAGCTGCTGCGCTGCGCCCAGCGCACCGTGCGCGCGCCCGACCCCGCCTGGGACTGGCAGCACGTGGGCCCCGGTGAGCGCGCGCGGGGCGGAGCCCAAGTCAGAGCCGGGGCGCAAGGGGGCGGCGTTCTGGTCTCCCCCCCAAAGGTGGGCGAGTGCAGAGGAAACCGCAGAGGGGTAAGCTGGGCCTGAGACACTCCCACCTCCACCCCAGGCTACCGGGATCGCAGCTACGACCCTCCTTGCCCAGGCCACTGGACGCCGGAGGCAGCCGACTCCCGGACCCCGTGCCCTGGCCTGCCCGGACCTTCCCACAGTGAGGAGCCCGGGGGGCCTGAGGGCTCCGAGGCAGGGCAATCCGGAACCATCGAGGAGCCCCAAACAGAGTTAGAAGCTGAGGCCTCCGAAGGGGCTGAAGAACCCGAGTTGGATTCGCAAACGGATCCGGAACCAGAGGCAGAAGCAGAACCTGAACTGGAACCAGAAACCGAGCCGGAGCCGGAGCCAGAACCAGAACCAGAGCCAGATGCAGAGCCAGAGCCCGAGCCCGAGCCGGAGCCGGAGCCAGACTATGAGGCCGAGGATGCATCTGAAGGTGTCAGGCTGCCCAAACCCAGTGCCAGGTTTGCGGGAGGTTGGAGTCCCGGGAGGCAGTGGGCGGGCCCCACCTGACCAACCACTTTCCCCCTTCATTTCTAGATTCCTGAGGGCCAGAGCTCTGACTGGCCACTCCCCATCCAAGCCCAAAAGGACCTGGGTTGGATTACCACCCGGCTCCACCTGGCCCCGAGTTCGCTGGAGTGAACAAACTGTGGAGGGTGGGTCTAGGCTCCGTGATTGCGGCCCTCGGCCCGGGAATAAAGGTATGGATGGACCTGTGCTCGGAGTCAGTGCCCTGAGGAGCCCCTGTGCCCCACCACCCAGTCCTCAGCCTCCTTTCATCAACGGCCCCAGCTGCATCCTGGAGATCTCAAATCCAGGTGGCCAGTGACGCAGGGCCAGACTTGGGCCCTTTTGTCAGTTGGGCAGGTGTTGTCACTGGGCCTGGGACAGAAAGCCAGGGAAGGGGAGCTTCTCTCCACTTAGGGAGGGCTAGCACGGAGGGCCCTGGGAAATGCGATTAGGAGGAGGAGGGGATCTTGGGAAGACAAAGACCCGCACAGCTTATTGTAATTGTTTTAATTGCCTGGCTTCTCTCGGGACTGGGAGCTCTGAGGGCTTGGCCAGTGGCTGGCACACAGAAGGCGTTCAGTGCATTTCACCACATGAACAAGGGCTTTCCAGCTGCGTTTCCAAATTTTATAGATGGGAACACTAAGGCCAAGGGTGGGAATGGGACTGGGTCAGCCTCCGACAGCGAGTCCCAGGTGAAACTGGAAGCAACCACCCTCTGCGCACCTCTCCTGGTCCAGGAGGGGCTCAGGATTTGGGACAGGTAGGTGTCTGCCCCTCAGGCTTGATTATGGCTGCTGCCAGGCTATGCCAACCTCTGTCAGAGACCAGCTGTGAGGGGGGGGGGCAAAGACAGGGACAACAGAGGCCTGAGGAGGGGGTGGGGCTAGGGGCAGGGCCTGGTGAACCCTCAGGCTCAGCTCACAAGGCCAGAAGGACTGTGTGTTGTGTGTGTGTCTGCTGAGAGGGGGGCCTTCCAGAGGAGCCTGTCCCTGAACCTTCAGAAGCGGCTGCCTCCAGCCCCAGGAAGCAGAGCACATAAACAGGGAATAAATACATGCAGCGGGAGAGGCAAAATGCCGGAGAGCACGTCCCAGCCCAGCTGGGTCTCTACCGACCAGGACCCTTGTCCCTTGAGTCTGTGTGAAAGCCAGGACCCCAGGCTCAGGTCATCACCCCGGGAGAAGGGGACCCCCACCAGGACCCAGTGAGAGGTAGACAGCGTGGAAGCTGAAGGAGCACCAAGGGGCCAGGTGGGGGACGGGGGACTGGAGCACGCAGATCCCCTAAGTCCCCTCATGCAAGAACAAGGTTCTACTCCCAAACCATCCCCATCCCCATCCATGCTCAACGTCCCTGCTGCCCCCAGGCTTCCCCTCTGCTCCCTGGACAGAGGCAGGAGGGCGTGCTGTTCGCTCAGCATGCTGCTGCTGGTCTCTAGGTCCTGGGAGACTAGCGGGGAACACAAACCCACTGAGGGTGCCGCTCCTCCCTCCTGAGATGCTCCTGTCCCCTCAGCATCCCCAAGAAACAGCCAGGCTGCGGAGGCTCAGAGCAGCCCTCGTCCTGTTCAGGGGGGTGGTGGTCTGGAGCCCCAACCAGTGTCAGTCAGGCAGCAGCCGGCCCAGCTCCTCCTCGTCCAGCCGGTTGGTGGCCATGATGTGCTCCAGCTGCTGCTGGTAGCGCTCCAGGTCCTGCATGAAGTGGGGCACCCGCGCGTTGTTCAGCACCCCATGGGGCCGCAGGAGATCCACGTCCTCATAGGACACCTGCAGGGAGGAGGGAGCTGGGCTGAGGAGGAGGCAGAGGCCCCCCGGCTTTCAGGTGGCTGGGCCCAGCTCTCTGCCAATGCTGGATTGCCCCTTGCTCCCGGAACACCTCCCTGCCAGCTCCTGACCTGTTCCCAATGCTATGTATCCCCAGGCTCAGTCCTGGGTGTTTGCTCTTTCTCTCAACACCTTCTTTTATCATCTAGGCCCTACAACCCCCTCCTGTCCCCGGCCTAGCTCTCCCAATTGCCTTTGAACACTTTCTCCTAGACATCCCACAGGCACCTCAGACTCCCCATAGCCAACACTGAATTCTTAGGTGTCAGATTATGCCAGGCACTCCTGACAGCCCTCTAGGTCAGGTTCCGGAGCGGGGGTGGGGGGGTGGCCACTGAGCAGATACCCTAAGTCACCTCATGCAAGAACAAGGTTCTGCTCCCAAACCATCTCCCATGGGTCCCCCTCTCTGAAGAGCTCCCCAGCCTGCCCCTCCCCCTCCCCCTCCAGCTGCACAGCCACTGCTGGGTCAGGCCAGCCACCATCAGTTCTGCAGGAGGGATTGGGAAGGCCTTGCTCCCCCATCCCTTTTCCTAGGTCTCTCTCTCAATCCCCCTCCCATCCAGCCTCAACTTCCTTAAAGCTCTTCTAAGTCCCCTATTGCTTCAGAGGCGGTTTACCTTTCTCAACTTGGCACAGATACCCAGTGCTAGGGACTTGGTCTGGAGTGATGCAGTATCTCCATGCACGCACGCACGCATCCCTACAGACTGGGTCAAGCGCCTGCCAGACTGTCATTTCACCTCCTGTGCTCACCTCCCACCCACCAGAGAGGCCTGGCACCAGTCTTCAGTCAGGCACCCATCAGAGGCTCAGGGAACGCTGCGACGAGGACCCTCCGAAGGCCCGTGGCCACTCACCTTGCCCAGCGAGGTCAGCAGCGGGAAGTCGATGGTCTGGCGGTGCCGCAGGATGCGCACGATGCCGTCCAGGTACACCTGGTCCTTGCTGAAGCATCCTGTGGGCATGGGAGGGCCGTGAGCCCCTCCACCTGAAGCCACGCCCCGGCCCCTGCCCCAGCTCAGGGCACTTCTCACACGGGCACCCACCTGGCAGCGAGGTGTCGGTCTGGCCGCGTTTGGCGCGCACGCAGTACTCCCAGCGCACGTCCGCGTCCTGCACGTAGCGCGCCAGGTCCTGGAAGAGCTGGCGGAAGGACAGGTGCGCCGCGCGGTGGATGGTGTAGTAGAGCAGCGCGGCGCGCCACAGGAAGGGCTGCTTGCGGAACAGCACGCTGTGCAGGCTGGCCAGGCCCTCCTCCGTGGGGTTCGCCGGCCGCAGCCCGTACTGCAGCCGGCCCTCGGCGCTGTGCCAGGGCTGCCGGGCATTGTTCACGCCTCGCAGGTAGTGGGTGCCTGGGGGAGGGCGAAAGGGAAGGGGGTGCTGGGTGGGTCGTCCCGGAACCCTCTGCCAGGCCTGTCCCTTATATTCGTGCGGGTATCCTCAGGCCCTTAAACGCAGGCTCTCCCATAACCTCTCCCTGCCACCCCTACCCCAGCGTACATACTCATCCAATCTCAGGGGCACCCGCACCCAAGGACCCATTGATCAAGGTGACCAGAGGTCCCGCTTTTAAACAATTTGTCCCGCGGCATTTTAAATAAGTCCCGATTTTTGGAAAGATTGCTAAAAATCGGGACTGTCCCGCCAAAAGCGGGACTTCTGGTCACCTTACCATAGAGTCACATGCAAGAGTCCTCCTCTACCCATTCAGGACTACACACACACACACACACACACACACACCCCTCCCAAACTCACACTGCTTCCCTGGAGAGGACTGGAACTCACACACCATCCCATCCCCACATCCTGTACGCCCTATTGTCCCACTGATGTCCCTAGCAAAAACCAACTTTTGCTCAGGGCAACAGAACTCTAGATGAGGAGGGGGGACAGGCAGAAAAGAATATCCGTTTGGGTCCTCTGCTTTCCTTTCCAGCCCGGCCTACCCACTCCTCTACCCGGCTCTGTGTGTGTGTTCTCAGCCAGTTCCATCCCCACCCGGGACGGCCTGATGTTGGCGGGGCTAGCGAGACCCTCCGTGTTTTCCCTCTGGCCTTCCCAGGCCCCCTCAGCCTGTCCCCGCCGTCCAGGGAAACCAGAGAGGCGGTGGAGGGAGGAAAAGATACCCAAGAGGAAGGAGGGATGAGGGTGAGCCCAGAGACGGGCAGGCATGTTCGGGCCCGCCTCTGAGGGCCAGAGGGAGGAGGGGACTGCTCGTGAAAGGAAAGGGCCCTAGCCTCAAAGGTAAGTGGGAGAAAGAGAGGGGTGGGGCCCCTCGTTGTCCTCCCACATCCCAGGCCCCTCCCATCCCTCCCCGCCCACCCACCGACCCAGGCCCTGACCTATCTCGTGCCGCAGCATGCCCTCGAGCCAGTACTGGCGGGCTCCGGTCAGGTTGATGGCCAAGGTCGGTCGGCTGTTCTCCACCATCATCACTGCCTGGGACAGCAGGTCTTCACTCAGCTGCACCACCACCTGCAGGCAGCAGCAGTGCTCGGAGCCATGGCCACTGTGCAGGTGTACCCACCAGTCATGCCCCAGGGCATCCATCCTGGACACTTGGCCAAGACACCCACCCTGATTCACCACGTCTGCTCAGAGCCAGCTCCCACCTTACTAGGGCAGGGACAGGGTCTTGCCAGGGGTCCCTCGCTGGCCAGGTGTGGAGCTGGGCCTGGCATCACCCCACTGAGTCTGGCCAGTTTGGGTCAGGGAGAAGGGGGTGCTCGAAGGCAGTGCAAGCTCACCTCCCCAACGCAGCCCTCCTTCTGCATGTATTTGCGCACAATAGACCAGATCTGGCACTTGGTCAGCAGCTGGCCCCCCGTCGCAGCCTCGAAGTGCTCGTAGGTGCCGAACTTCTCCAGGACAGCCTCGATGATGCCAACTGCCTGCACACAGGGCCGAAGGGGGCGGTCAGGCCAGGCCTCTCGAGGGGTCGGGGCCAGGGGGCGGCGGGCGGGCTGGCTGGACTGACCTGGCGGATGAACTGCCCAGAGGCCTCACAGTACTTCTCCAGCACGGCCATGGGCATGGGCTCCTGGTACTCGAACTGCGGGTTGTAGGTGTAGCGGGACTGGAAGAACTTGTCCCGCTCACTGTCCATGTTGGTGGGCCGCAGGGCCATCAGCAGGCAGGGGCTCTTGCTGGCGCCCTGGCCCCCACACTTCGGAGTCTTAGCAATGTGAGGCAGGGAGGATGCGGACCGCAGGGTGCCCCAGCCTGGATCCCGTCTGCGTCCAGGCGGGGCCCGGCCCGGGGTGCCAGCCCTCTGCTGGCCGGCACTGTTTACGGTGCAGGTGCTCTCGCTGCGACGCATGGGGCCACCGGGGCCCCAGCGCAGCTCTGAGAGGGACTGCAGCTCAGGCCGGGGCCGCAGGGCCGAGGAGACTGACAGAGCCAGGGGCAAGGCCAGGGACTGAGGCCAGGAGTACAGCGGCGTCCCATCTCGGTCTGAGGGCGTCGGCCTGCGGCCCGAGGTTGAGCGCCTGGCTGGTGGGCTGGGGGGCGGCTGCTCATACACCTGAGCCCCCGAGTCCAGCACCATTCTGCTCTGGGGGTCACATCCAGCCGGGTCACTCCAACTCCCCACGCTGTGGACTCCTGGGGACACGGAAGGGCAAGTGGAGGCCAGCATGAGTACGTGTGGCCTGAGGGCCAGCAAGTCCTATGCTCTACACTGCCCTTGCTGGGTTCCCAGGGGTCGGTCTGGGTAAGCTGCCCCCTCGCCACACCTACCCCAGTGTCCATTCCCTCCAGCAGGCTCACCAAAGCAAGCTGGACTGGGAGATCGGGGGGAAGAGTCTATGTGTCACCTGGAACAGCTTTAGCACCTGGAAGCAGGCCTGAACCCCTGCTCATGATTCTAATCCCTGTGCTCAGCACATGCCTGGGCTGGAAGCTGGTAGAATGTAGCCTCAGCTGCCAGGCTGATGGGTGAGGGGACCTCACCACCTTCTATCTATCTTTTCTTTCTTTCTTTCTTTCTTTCTTTCTTTCTTTCTTTCTTTCTTTCTTTCTTTCTTTCTTTCTTTTTTAATATATGTTTTATTGACTTTTTTTACAGAGAGGAAGGGAGAGGAATAGAGAGTTAGAAATGTCAATGAGAGTCTCATCGACCAGCTGCCTCCTGCACACCCCCCACTGGGGATGTGCCCACAATCAAGGTACATGCCCTTGACCGGAATCGAACCTGGGACCCTTCAGTCCGGAGGCTGCCGCTCTATCCACTGAGCCAAACCAGTTTCGGCTATAGCCTTCTTTCTATAGCATTTCTCAGTTCCCCTTCCACTCCCGCCTGGCCCCACCTACCTCCTCCAGCCCATTAGGCCCCGGTTTGAGTGCCTGCATGCCCCTTGCTTATGCTAGTCCCTCCTCCTGGAATGCTCTCTCTCCACCGGACCATCTGTTCAAATCCAATTTAGAATCAGCTCTTAGGGGTCAAAGAGAAATGTTAGTAAAACCAAGCCAATCCCTGGTCTGTCCCCCATCAGAGGCATTTTCCTAGTTGCCATCCAAGGCCAGTGCTGGGGGCCCTCACCCCTGACTGTACCAGGGCTCAGTCCAATGCTGTTTTTCTGCAGCCTCTGAACAACCTTGCCTGCCTGCTCAGGGACACATTGCCAGCATTTCTTCTCTCTTCTACATCTACATCACCAATAACTTCTTCTCTGCTGGATTCTTTACATCAGCATAAATACATGTGTTATTTATCCATTTTTAAAAAAACAAACAAAACAAAGCTTTAGCCAGTTTGGCTCAGTTGTTAGAGCATTGACCCACGTGGACTGAAGGGTCCCAGGTTCAATTCCCGTCAGGGGCACATACCTTGGTTTCAGGGTGGATCCCCAGCCCTGGTCAGGTTATGTGCAGGAGGTAACCAATTGATGTGTGTGTGTCTCATATCGATGTTTCTCTTTTTCTGTCTCTTTCCCTCCCTTCCTCTCTCTCTCTCAAAACCAAAGGAAAAATATCCTTGGTTGAGGATTCACAAAACAAAACAAACCCCACACACTCCCTGCAGTAAGTGTTCCTTACTGCAGCACATTTCTTTCTTTCCTGTTCTCTCTTTAAAGTATCTTTTTGTTGATTTTAGAACAAGAGGAAGGGAGAGGGAGAGAGAAATATGGATGAGAGAGAGAAACATCGATTGCCTGCCTCTTGCATGCCCCCCATGGGGATCCAGCCGGAAACCAGGGCATATGCTCTGACCTACCAGGAATCTAACCTTTTGGTGCATAGGATGACAGTCAGCCAACTGAGCCACACCAGCCAGGGCTCCTGTTCTCTCTTAAATTTCACTCCAGTTAGGCTTTCCCCCAAACCCTATCGAAACTGATATGACCAAGGTCATCAATAATCTTCATATTGATCAGCAGCACTTGACACAGCTAATCACTTCATTCTGGACACACGTCCCCCACTTGGCTCCCCAATCTCCTACCTCTCTGGCTGTTTGTCCTTTTCATTTTTTTCTAACTGTTCATTCTTGCTCTTCCTTGCTAGTCATCCTTATCTTCCTGACCTCTTAACACAGTAGTGCACATAGAAATTTATACGGAAACTTCTCTCCTCCACTTGTGCCCACTCCCTGGGGAATCTCATCCATTCTCATCGTTTTAGGATCATCAGCCCAGACTTCTTCCATAAACCTCAGGCTAGTATTGCCAGTTCTCAATTCAACCTGTTTTTACTGGAATGTATAACAGGTGTCTCAGACTGAACATGTCCCCTGTCGGGAGTGTCTTTTACCCATATAACTTCAGGGGTCACTCTCCCACTTACCTCATATTTTTGCACAAATACGTTATTAGAAAAGTCTCCCTAAAGCACACTCTAAGAAATAATAAATCTCCTCTCCCACCCCTCCACCACCACAATTCCCCACCCCCTTCCTCAGGCTATTGTTCTCTGTGGCCGGTATCTCCATCTGAAGAACAGCATATTTAATTGCTAGTTTTCCGTTTTCTCCTTTTGAGTGTTCACATTGTGTCCCCAGAGCCCAGAGCTAGCTCTTCAATAAATATCTGAACCCAAGAGCCCCTTTCCTTCTCAGAACTGGAATCATTCCTTCCTTGCACTTTGTTTTCCCTTCTGGATCTGATCCCCTCTCCCTCCCCCCATTTCCACCGCGCGAACACACACACACACACACACACACACACACACACACACACACACATTCCTTCTACTCCGCCTAGAGACAAGCTGCTTAAAAAGATTTCTGGCCTCAGGCTTCACTCCCCTCAACTTAACTGTACACTTTCCTGGACTTCTCCGCGGTCTCAGAGTCTCTACCTGGACCAGTCCCCCTTCATCTTTCCTTCCACCTACTTCTTGGCAATTACCAGAACACGCCTGTGTCTTTTATGTCTCAGGCCCTTCTGCCACGGATGCTTTCCCAAAGTCTCCCTGGAGCACACTTTCCCACCCGTTTTTCAGGGCTTGGTTTAGGCCTCACCTCCTCCGGGAAGTCTGCCAGGCGTCCTAGAGGCTCCCAATGCGCCTAGGCGGCCCCTTGACCGCCCTAGGTGGTCACTGTCGTAGCCTAGGTCCGTGTCCCCTCACCATGTCCTGGACTCCCTGAGGGCAGGGACGGGTCTGATGCCCTCCCATGTCTCCAGCATCCAGCACCAGATGCAGAATGAATGAGAAATGACTAGGGGGAGGAACCCAGAAGGAAGGTGGAGTCTGGTGACAAGGGAGAGGGTGTAGCCTGCGCCAATGGGAAGCTCCCGGAGAGGATGACGTGGACGTGGAGCCAATGGGAACGGAGGAGGGGCGTGACCTACAGCCAATAAACGGCGGGGGCGGGGATGAGGCAAAGGGCGTGCCCAATGGAGGGCGGGGCCGGGAGACAATAGAAGGGGAATCTCTCCGTCAGTGAGGTGGGGCTCACGTCGCGCGCCTCCTCAGCCCCAGCCTCAGCCTCTCCCTCTTCGGTGGGAAAAGGGCTCCGTCCTCGTGTCCTGCCCCCACCTGTTCGCTGCTCTTCTCTCCGTCACGGTTCCCGCTCCGAGACCTCGGTCGCCGGCCAACCAGCCCCCAGAGCGGATGCCTGGGACGCACGCCCTCGGGGGCGCGTACGCTCACGAGAAAGCGCGCGGGTTCGCGTCCCGAGAACACAGCTGCGGGGGCGGGGCCGGGCCGAGGCGGGCCGTGTCCGCCATCCAGTCACGTCCCCAGGCGGGGCGTTGTCCTGAGCCCGCCGGCTCCGAGCATGCCAGGCGGGTTTCAAGGCTGAATTCAGATGGTACCCCAGTCAGGGCTGGGAGACATGCGGAGGCAGCCCGCTCACGGAAGCCCGGGTCCTTGGGAGGTGATGCCAGGACCGATGGGGTGCCTTAGGCGTGTCCCTGTCCTGGCTTTCCCCAAAAACCCTATGGAAACTGATATGACCAAGGTCATCAATAATTTTCATATTGATCAGCAGCACTTGACACAGTTAATCACTTCATTTTGGACACACATTCCCCACATGGCTCCCCAAACCTCCTACCTTACTGGCTGTTTGAGATATATATATATATATAAAATTGATTTTTTTACAGAGAGGAAGGGAGAGAGAGATAGTTAGAAACATCGATGAGAAAGAATCATCGATCAGCTGCCTCTTGCACACCCCCTACTGGGGATGTGCCCGCAACCAGGGTACATGCCTTTGACCGGAATTGAACCCAGGACCTTTCAGTCCGCAGGCCGACGCTCTATCCACTGAACCAAACCGGCTTCGGCTGTTTGTTCTTTTTCTTTTTTTTCTTTTCTTTTTTTTTTTTTAAATATATTTTATTGATTTTTCACAGAGAGGAAGAGAGAGGGATAGAGAGTTAGAAACATCGATGAGAGAGAATCATCGATCAGCTGCCTCTTGCACCCCCCCCACTGGGGATGTGCCCGCAACCAAGGTACATGCCCTTGCCCGGAATCGAACCCGGGACCTTTCAGTCCGCAGGCCGACGCTCTATTCGTTCTTGCTCTTCCTTGCTAGTCATCCCTATCTTCCGGACGGGTCCTTCGGAATTGATGCCGGGACCGATGGGGTGCTTTAGGCGTGTCCCTGTCCCAGGCTCCCTAACGTTCGCGGACACTTTTATTTCATCCCCTCTTCCCCCAACACACACAATTCAGGCGGATGGGGGGGGGGGCGCTGGGAGCCGGCACCCAGCTTTATTCTGCTCGCAGTGGAGAGTCAGGCACAGGACCCCGAGAAGAGACAGGACGGGGAAGGCGTGGGCGCCGGCACGAGGCTGAAGAGGGCGCGGCGACCCGCGCGGGGCGAGGGCTGCGGGCCGTCCTGCAGGGAGCTGAGTGCGGCCAGGCGCTGCTCCCGGGACACGTCCCCGCGCAGGTCCAAGAGGGCGGAGATATGTTCCTCGCTAAAGGGGGGGAGGGGGGGAACCACAGGGATGCATCAGCCCCGCCCCCCTAGTATCCCTCCCAGGTCCCTTCTCCCTTTCCGCCCCCATCCGCGTACCTTACGTCGGGAAATTGCTGCCGAAGGCTCGCCACCTCGAGGCCCAGCATCGTGGGGTCGCGGAGGTTCAGCAGCTTTCGCAGGGTGAGCAGCACCGGCGCGCAATGAACGTTCTCTTCCAGGCCCTGGACACCACGTTGGGGCGAGGTCTTGAACCCGCCCTTGGCTCCCACCCAGCCACGGAGACTCACACCCAACTGCTCGCCCCACAAGCGCTTACCAGATCGAGGAAGAGATCCCGGAGCTGGGTGGCATCCTGCTGCATGCGCTCGGCTGCCTGGTTCCGCTCCTCCGGCCCGCGGCACACCAGGCGGCCCTGCATCAGCGCGCCCAGGTACAGCAGCACCACCGTGCGCTCCGCCTCGGCCAGGAGCACCTGCGAGGAGGGGGTAGGGCTATCAGGTGGGCCCAGGACCCCTTTCCCATCGGCGTCCCACTCTCGCCAGCCAGCCTTTCCCCAACACACCTGGAATGTGGGGTTCCGAACACGCCAGAAGTTCCGGCAGAAGCGCGCTGTCCGCTCGCACACATTGCTCAGCAGCTCCGGGCTCGACAGCCAAGGGCGCGAGGGCAAAGTCTCGAACAGGGGCTGGAAGGACGATCCAGACCCGACATTTCCCCGCGGAGACTCCCACACCTACCCCTGATCTCCTCCTGCCCTGTTCCCCACCTGAAGTCTCTCACCTGGAGCTCCAGCAACAGCGCCTCCAGCACCAGCCGGCAGATCCTCCTCTGCAACTCGTCCAGCGCTGCCTCCACCGGAGCCAAGGCCCCTGAGACCACCCCTTCGGGCTGCAAGACGGACACGGAGGAGCTGGACCAACCAAAAGCAGGGCTTCAGCACCAAGGCCAAGGCCCGCACAGTCCTCTAGGGTCTGGCTGCTTGGGCGCCACCTAGTGGCGGGAGTGTGTGCGGCGGGACAGGGCAAGAAGGGCGGTTCCCTTGGACTTCTGAATATCTAGGGTGGGCTCAGCAAGCTAGAAAAGACACAACCCAGTGGGACCTGTTTCTAATTCCCAGTGAGACCTTGAGCAAGCCATGTCTTTCTGTTTCTGTTTCCTCATTGGTAAGGGGAGAGAGTTCATCACAGTCAAGAGGTAGTAGTATAACTTGTTTGTCTGACCTCTCTGTCCCCATCCTATGTAGTAAAAGCCTAATATGCAGATTGTCCCCTCAGGTGGTCATTTGACCAGTTCAACCGGGAGACCAGGAGTTCGACTGCTCGCTATGACATGCGCTGACCACCAGGGGGCTGCTTGGAACATGGCAGGCATCAGCGATGTGATGCTGGCAGCGGATGGCAGTGGAAGCACTGCCAACCCCAATGGGCCCCGATGAAAGCAGGACCACAGCAGAACGGTGGATGCAGGGGGGCCCGATTGCCCCGCCAGTTGCCCTGCTGATTGCCCCATAGGTACGATGGTGGAGCAAGTGACAGGCAGTGCCAGGCCAAGGCAGGGTGCCAGGTGGGGCTGCGAGGCTGAGGGCATGAACTGGGGCCCGATTTCCACAGGCTACCCTGAAGGGCCCTCTACCTGTGCATGAATTCATGCACCAGTCCTCTAGTCCCAAATAATACAAGACCCAAGGGGAAGGAAATACTTTTCTGTTTTGATCCCCAGACACAGAGTAGACCCTAGTGAGTATATGTGAATTAATGAATACATGAGACTATGTGCTAGGCACTATGATAGGTACTTTACATTAAATGTGATCCTCAGAATGTCTTGTTATCTATACATATACTAGTAAAAGTCTTAAATGTTACAATGGACCAACTGGTCGCTATGATGCACACTGTCCACAAGGGGTCAGACACTCAACACAGGAGCTGCCCCCAGCCCACGGGCCGTGATTGCTAATGGGGCCTTCCAGCCAACCTCCTGGACCCTCCTCCTGGCCACAGGCCCCAAAAGGCCCACCAACCACCTGCTGCAGTGGTGGTAGGCCCTCCTCCAGCCAAACCCAGGGGAACTGGGGAACTGGGGGTGGGTGGCAGGCAGTAAGGAAAGGAAGAAGCAGGGAGGCAGGGAACTGCATGGTGGTGGTGCACAGGTGGTGAGGGAAGGAGGAAGCGGGGAGGCAGGGAGTCAGGGAACCTGATCGGCCCTGATCGCTGGCAAGGCCTAAGAATCCCACCCTTGTACGAATTTTGTGCACTGGGCCTCTAGTTCAGTGGTGTGCAAACTGCAGCTCTCAAGCCACATGGGGTTCATGAGCTGCGGTTTGCTGCTCTGGTGACCAATAAGTTTGCCTACCACTGGGATAGGGGCTTAATCACAGGGAACAACAACAGCCTGTAATTATTAGAATTGAGAGTCTAGGTCAGTGGTCAGCAAACTCATTAGTCATCAGAGGGGCAAACCTTGGCTCATGAGCCGCAGTATGCCAACCACTGCTCTAGTCGATATATAAAATCCTAAGCCATCTTTATGACCAGATGATCTGCTGGTAGCTATGATGTACATTGACCACTGAGGGGCAGGTGCTGAATGTAGAAGTTCCCCCCTGGTGATCAGTGTGCTCCCATAGGCAACCTCCTATGGCTGGCCAAAGTCCCATAGTCCTTCCCCGTAACCTGCCCCAATTGGTCCCCATTGGGGTGGCCGGCCAACATCCCATGGTCCCTCCCCCCTGGCCAGCTGGCCCCTGATCACCAGCCAGGCTGAGGGACCCCACTGTGCACAAATTCGTGCACAGGGCCTCTAGTAACTCATTTAATACTAATAAGAAAAGAGAGATTAAGTAATTAGCCCAAGGTCACACAGCTAATCAGTAGAACTAGGATTGGAACCATGGGGCTATGTGACTCCAAAGTTCCTAATAGACTAGTGAAGGCTGGGTCCGTACTTAGCAGGTACTCAGCAGATAGCGGAGGTGGGGTTCTGTGGGGGCCTTATGGTACCTGAGTGCCGATTGGTGGTTGAGGGCAGCCAGGAGGTAGGACACGTAATGAGGGACCACTGCTTCCCCTCTGAGGTGGTCTCGGGAGAATCGGATCAGAGCATCATTAAAGCTGCAAAGGACAGAGGTGGCACCTGTACCTGCTGCCACTGGTACCCCAACCATTTCTGTCCCAAGTGCTCTGGCCCCCACCTCCAAGATACCCAAGGCCCTGTTCCAAGGAGCCTTCCCCCTCTGGTGAGTCTTAATCACTCAGAGCCACACACCCCCCCCGCCCTGGGGCTGCCCCTGGAGCAGGGCCAGGGTTTGGGGGTGGGTCAGTACAGACCTTCTCAGGAACACCCCCAGTTCTGACAGGGCCATGCCGTGCACCCGCCGCTGCAGTGACTGACTGACCAGGATGGTTACTCGAATGTTTTCTTCCAGGATCTACAGGCAGGGATGGGCAGCCATCAGCAGCGTCCTAGTGCTGCCCTCCTCCCCGTCCTTTATGAGGGCTGCCCACCTGGCTGCTGCCACTTCCCACCCACCTGCAGCACGATGGCTGGCATTGGTGAGTGGTAGAAACCAGATGGATCTGTGTCAGGCTCCCGCTCCCGGCCCCATTCAGCCACTTCCCCATCCAGTGCCTTCCGCAGCCACTGCACCACGTTCTCCTAGCGCAAGGGACAAGGGGCAGCAGAATGCAGCAGAATGCACTGACCCTGCCAGAGACAGGGAGCCACATGACCCTGCCAACATGCAGCTGGTGGCAGAGCTTCTCTGGACCTGGGCCCCAGCGACTCACCCGGACTTTGGATACAAACGTTGCCTCTAGCTGCTCGATGTTCTCCAGGGTCAGGAGAGGTTCCAGCTGAGACACATCAGCCTCCGGCCCCAGTTCCAGGCTCCCCATCATTTCCGGCCTGGGGACGAGTGGCCTAGGGTCACCCTGAGCCCCCAGCTTCGGATCCACCCGCTTCCCGTTGCCCCGCGGGCACTGACCCCAGGTACACGTGCAGCGCCCAGTGCAGCAGGGTGAAGGCGTCGGCGGCCCCCAGCTCGGGCCCTTCCAGGAGCTGCTGCAGGCAGCGCCGCAGGCCGCCGTGCAGGGTGTGGGCCCACAGCTGCACCACCTTGTAGTGTGGTGGGCAGCAGGGTGCTATCAGTGCCTCCGCCGTGGCCAGTTCGGCTGGGAGAGCCACCCGCAGAGCCTCCAGCCACCCCGCGAGGGCCCCTGGTCCAGGCAGCAGAGGCGTCCCGAAGTGGGTCCGCTCAAGGCCCTCCTCTAGCGCTCGCAGACAGCGCTGTCGCCAGTCCCGGGGGGCCTGCTCCAGGGGGGTGGTCCTGCCGGCCTCCACCTCCGCCACACGCACAGCGGCCACCAACAGGGCCGGGTCCTCCCGGGCCAGCTGCCCTGCCGCCCCGACAGCTGCCTCCACAGCCTGGCCCAGTGCCTCCGCCAGAGGGCCCAGCCCCTCAAAGACGGGCAACTCCAGGCCCCCCAGAGAGGCCCACGTCTCCTCTTGCAGCTGCTCCAGCTCCCTGAGGCCCCCATATGCCTCCAAGAGCCGATGGGCGTCGATCAGGGTCTGTGTGTGGACCACCGCAGCCGGCACTAAGGAGGGAGCAGAGGAGACAGCCCTGGGTCTCAGCCTTCCCCCCTGTGCAATGGGTACAGGATCAGATGCTGAGGCCCCGCGGCTGGGGTGGTGGATAAAGTACTTAGAGTAGACTTTTACTGAATAAACTTAAATCTTATTAGAAAATAAAATACAACCCAGTGTAATAGAGTATTGGCCAATCTGAAAGGACCACGGAAGGGCCGAAGGCCTGTTGGACCAGGTATAAACCCTTGAGCTGGTGGAACGTACGGAAGTCAGGGAGGGAAGGCAGGGAGGAACTGCAGGACGGTCTAGTGGCTATTCATCCGCCCTGTGAGGGAATATTTCAATTAAACAACCAGGGTGGCCAGAGCCACTTGCCTGGGCATCAGTGCTGACTCAGACATGCCCTGCTCAGAAACCGGAGTGAGCTAAATCTGCACCCCGCTTTATGTGCCTTCGGAAGCCTGAGTTACTCTCTGGGAGGCCCTTGGTCTGTCCCTCCCTGTAACCTCCCACTGGTACCCCATGAGTGTGTTGACTGAGAGTTGGGAGCTGAAGCCCAGGGCCCTTGCACACTCACCTGCTCGCAGCCGGGGCAGCAGCTGAGACAGGGCCTGCAGCTGCTTGTGTTGGACCACCTGCTCCCGCAAGGGCTCTAGGGTCTGTACAGCGTTGGCCATGCCCCGGAGCAGCCCACGGGCCTGGCCCAGGGCCTCACGGGCTCCTTGCACGGCCTCGAGGGCCTGTGCCAGTTGCCACACCCCAGTCTTCACACCCTCCAGGTAGGACTGCACCACTGACTGCGGAAGGGAGGGAGCCGGTGAGGCCTGGCCAGCTGGCCACCACCCCCAGCCCTCCTGCCCCTTGCCTGATGCCCACCTTAATGCGTGCTTCCAGGGAGCAGGTGCGCTGCACCTCCCGGCTGCGGTACTGGCCCAGCCTGGCCAGCTGCTCTGGCCGGTAGAAGATGCCTGAGGCCCACTTGAGTGCTGCTCCCCGGGCCAGCTGCTCCGCCCTCTCCTGCTCCGGCCACTCTGACCCTGGGCAGGAAGAGCCTGGGTAGCCATGTCAGCTGAAGGAAGCAGCTGCCGACCCTGCTCTCCTTCCGGCTCCTCAGCCTGAAAGCCCAGGGCAGTCTACTCCTCTCCCTGACCCCTAGAGCCCCAGCCAAACCCACCACTCCCATCTTTCTTGCCGCATCCCTCCCCCACCCCACCCAGAAAGGCTCATACCAGGAGGAAGGGAAGGCTGCATTTCGTCCTTGGCTGTGGGGTCCATTTTAGGCCCTGGAGGAGCCACAGATGAGGTAGGAGTCCGGGTGAGGGTCTGGGTTAGAGCAGGCAGAGTGGGTGAGCTTTGAGCTGCAGGCTCTGGGGAGGCCTCTCTCAGAAGGAGGAGGGGAGTTGAGGAGATTAGGTTCCTGCCCAGGCTCCTCAGGAAACGAGAGGGAGGCAGGGTGAGATTGGGAGGCACCTGGGAAGCCTCCTCTGCCGGATTTCTCAGCGTTGCCCCTTCAGATGCCAAGTGAGGCAAGGTGGGCACAGGCCTCCGCTGGACCCCACTCCTATCCCGAGTTGCAGAGGACGGTTTGGTATGGAACTCACCAGGCTTGACCAGGCGGCCAGTTCTGCCTCCTCCGCAAACAGTGTTGGCCTTGAGGATGGCCCTCTCCCCCAGCTGGACAGAGCTGGACAGAGCTGGACACTCCCTCCACTGGCTCACAGGGCCTAGGAGGCTCTGGGTCACAGCGTGCAGCAGAATTCCCCTTCCCAAGGAAGCTTCAGGCCCACCTCCCTGTCCAGAAGCCCGCCTTCTCTCTCCCCAAGACCACAAGCAGAAAGGAAGGAAGCTGAGTCTCTGGCATTTTATTCCCAACAGGAAAGAGCATCTGTGCTGTGGAATGGGGTGGGGAGGGCTGGGCCCACTTCCTGGGGGGGAAGGAGGCAGTACTCCCTGTGATTATTAAGTCTTGACCAGTCTACCCAGGACCTTTTAGTGCTCAGAATGGACATGAACTAGATGGCCCCAATTTGGGGTGGAGAGTGATGTGTACAAATCTGGACACAGACAGCATCACAGTATGAAAACTATGCTGACTATTCAGGCCCTTCGGAGGAGGGTGTGTAACTTCTGCAGAGAAGTGAGAGATCACAGGCTGTTGTGAAGAATGTGAGCCCTGGCCAGTTTGGCTCAGTGGATAGAGCGTCGGCCTGCGGACTGAAGGGTCCCAGATTTGATTCCGGTCAAAGGCATGTACCTCAGTTGTGGGCACATCCTCAGTTGTGGGTGTGCAGGAGGCAGCTAATCGATGTTTCTCTCTCGTGGATATTTCTAACTCTATCCCTCTCCCTTCCTCTCTGTAAAAAAATCAATAAAATATATATATTAAAAAAAAAAAAGAGTGGCCGTGACTGGTTTGGCTCAGTGAATAGAGTGTTGGCCTGTGGACTGAAGGGTTCCAGGTTCGATTCCGGTCAAGGGCATGTAACTTGGTTGTGGGCACATCTCCAGTAGGGCATGTGCAGGAGGCAGCTGATCCATGTTTCTCTTGTCATCGATGTTTTTAACTCTCTATTCCTCTCCCTTCCTCTCTGTAAAAAAATCAATAAAATCCTATCTAGTGGAAACCAGTTTGGCTCAATGGGTAGAGCATCCGTCTGTGGACTGAAAGGTTCCGGGTTCGATTCCGGTCAAGGGCATGTACCTTGGTTGCGGGCATATCCCCAGTAGGGGGCGTGCAAGAGGCAGCTAATAGATGACTCAATCTTATCGATGTTTCTAACTCTCTATCCCTCTCTCTTCCTCTCTGTAAAAAATCAATAAAATATATATATTTGCTGAAACCGGTTTGGCTCAGTGGATAGAGCGTCGGCCTGCGGACTGAAGGGTCCCGGGTTCGATTCCGGTCAAGGGCATGTGCATTGGTTGTGGGCGCATCCCCAGTACAGGGTGTGCAGGAGGCAGCTGGTCGATGTTTCTCTCTCATCGACATTTCTAACTCTCTATCCCTTTCAATTCCTCTCTATGTAAAATCAATAAAATATATTTTAAAAAATAAAATATATTTAAAAAAATAAAAATAGAAAAATTAAAAAAATAAAATAAAATCCTATCTAATAAAAGAGTAATATGCAGGGTGATCCATCACTCCAACACACAAGATGGCTGCCCCCATGTGGTCAAAGATCCTGCCCCTATGTGACCACAAGATGGCCAGCAGGGGAGGGCAGTTGGGAGGCACGAGGCCTGCAAGGGAGGGCAGTTGAGAGGGACCAGGTATGCAAGGGAGGGCAGTTGAGAGGGACCAGATCTGCAAGGAAGGGCAGTTGGAGGCGATCAACCCTGCAGGGGAAGGCAGTTAGGGGTGACCAGGCTTGCAGAGGAGGGAAGTTGGGGGCAAACAGGGGAGCAGTTAGGCATCAATTAGGCTGGCATGGGAGTGGTTAGGAGGTGATCAGGCTGGCAGGCAGAAGTGGTTAGGGGCAATCAGGAAGGCAGGCAGGTGAGCAGTTGGGAGCCAGCAGTCCTGGATTGTGAGAGGGATGTTCGACTGCCCATTTAGACCTGAGTGGGGTTGGGTCTAAACTGGCAGTTTAACATCCCTCGAGGGGTCCCAGATTGGAGAGGGTGCAGGCTGGGCTGAGGGACACCCCCCGCCCCTGTGCAAGAATTTCGTGCACCAAGCTTCTAGTGCATATTATAAAAAAGAAAGAAAATAAATAAATAAAAAGAATGTGTATGGTGGGTGATGGCAGGAGAGGTTCAAGGGCTCTGAGAATTGTTTATCTTGAGAGTTAAAGGGGCCACAGGAGGGACTATGAGATACTAATAATGTAGTGGGCACTAGGGAATCACCCAAATCCACCTTTCAGGACAAAGACAATTGTTCCCCTTGCTGCTTGGAGTGTATGCTGCTGAGGTCTCACAGCTGAATCTCATGGCCAGTGTTGGGGTACAAAGGCCTAGAACCCGTACTCCTGTCTGGATATGGAATGTCTTGGAAGGGTCACCCCAGTTTCAGAACTCCTAATAGGATGGGCTGGGGTCTTTATTATAACTGCATTGCAGTTTAATTCCTTCTCTGTCCATTTCTGCTTTTCTTACAAGTTTGGATAAACTTCCTGCAGACAAGATTCCTGTGTCAAAGTCTGCTTCCTGGAGAATTTGACTGGGTAAAAATAATAACAAAAAACGTTAAAAAAAAAAATAGCAAGATGATATCAGCAAACACAAAAGCCTTCCTACATGCTGGGAACTGTTCTAAGTGCTTTACATATATTTACTCATTGGTGAACATGTTTGCATTGGCTGAAGTGTCTATAATTCTATTGCCTCTGAGGCTGGGATCAGGGGAGTGGGGCTGGAGACAAGAGGACAAGCTAGATGTAGTTAGTGCTTATTGTTTGGCAGGAAGTGAGGTACGATAATACTCCTAAGACAGTGCAGCAGCTTACAGGAGCAGGAATTGGTGACCCCAAGAGACAGTGGAGCAGCTTATAGGAGCAAGAATTGGGAAAACACATTGGGTTCATCTGGCATCGCGGTCTTTCCTCTCCTGAGACGGGATGGCCACCCGGAAGGTTCTGGTGGCTCCCCCTTCTCTACTGCCCGGGCTGCCACCGATTTCCTATTACACCGTCCTTTTCGTCCTTTTCGGCGGTTGGAAATTTGCTGACGGCCCTAGAGTTTTTGCGGCCGTGCCCGCGGAGAGGAATTGCTCCAGGCTCCCTAGGAGAGAGCGGAACGGAAGCGGAAGCTGCGACGCTGGCGCCGGCGGCTGGGCGGTGAGGAGCGGAAGCGGAAGTGGCGGCGGCGCCGGCCTGGCCTGGCTGAGGGGAGGCGGCGGGCGGGCGCGATGGCGGAGGCCGGGCCACAGGCGCCGCCGCCCCCGGGCACCCCAAGCCGGCACGAGAAGAGCTTGGGGCTTCTCACCACCAAGTTCGTGTCGCTTCTGCAGGAGGCCAAGGACGGCGTGCTTGACCTCAAGCTGGTGCGGTCCGGCCTGAGGGGCGACGGAGGGGATGTTGGAATAGGCCTGGGCAGGTAGCAGGGACCCCCGAAGGGCGACCCAGCGGAGCCCTCAGGGAGCAAGCTGCCCTGCGTGTGCTTTCTCGCGAGTGGGAGGTCGGGGCCTGTTTAATTCATTCGGCCGAGGCCATTGGGTGTCAGCCTCCGGGTTGCAGGTGCTGGTCCTCGTGGCCCTCCCTGCCCGGGGAAAAGAGCATCAGAACATCAGTTCCGTTTGTGCCAGGCCTCTTTCCGCCCTGCCGTCTTGAGCTGCTGTAATGCCTGGGAGGAGGGTTGGGACTGTCCACCCCCTTTCCAGTCACCTCCAAACCAAGTCTCGAGGTAGCTGAGGAAACACCTGGGAGTGGGGCTGAGCATCCTCCCCTCTGTTCTCTCTGCCAGGCAGCTGACACCCTAGCCGTGCGCCAGAAGCGGCGGATCTACGACATCACCAACGTGCTGGAAGGTATTGGGCTGATCGAGAAAAAATCCAAGAATAGCATCCAGTGGAAGTGAGTGGAGGCACCTGGGAGGGGGATGGGATCTCCTATCCGGAAGTGTTGGGTGGGCGGTGGAGGGTGCAGGAGAGAGCAGGGTCCATGGGACCCAGAGTTCCTGGCGGTCCTCCTCAGCCCCACTCCCTGGGCTCAGGGGCGTGGGGCCTGGCTGTAACACCCGGGAGATTGCGGACAAGCTGATTGAGCTGAAGGCAGAGATCGAAGAGCTGCAGCAGCGCGAGCAAGAACTGGACCAGCACAAGGTGTGGGTGCAGCAGAGCATCCGGAACGTCACCGAGGACGTGCAGAACAGCTGATATCCTCCTGGCAGACCCTGCTCCTGGGGTGTGGGCGAGGGGCCCTCTTAGTCCAGCTGGGTTTGCATCGTGGCGTCCTGGCTCTATCCCTCTTGGGAGGATGGTCCTGCAGCTCCTGGCCAGGTCCCAGCCTCCTGCTTCCCTCTCTCCCACCAATCTGGGTCTGTGATCCCTCCCTTCTAGACCCCAGGCCCCAGGACTTTCTCCCCGAGGGCTTGCATGTTAGACCTCTGCTGAAGAGCCGGGTCTTCTCTGTGGTCTGCCATCTGTCACCATAGGCAGGGCAGCAGTCGTTCTCCTTAACCCCCACACCTTGGCCTACGTGACTCATGAGGACATCTGCAGATGCTTTGCTGGTAAGCAGAGCCTGAATTGGGGGGGGGGGGGGTTGAGGGGGGGAAAGGGGTTGGGGCTGGGCTGAGCCACAGCCCTGAGCAGTGGGTTCAGTATCTAAAGAGAGTTCTGTCTCTTCAGAGCGTTGCTGGGGCCTTCCCAAAGAGGAATCAGGCAGCATAAGTCCTGGGTTAGAGGATCACTGGGGCCCTATGGAGGCCAACCGTCCTGAGAGGATACAGGAATTCTGGGCTGGGTCTCTAGGACAAGTCCCCATCTACATGGTGCCTTGGGTTTGGCTTCTCAGGTGTGATGAGCAAACGTAAGGGGAAAGTGTGTGTGCTCATGTGTGTATGCTTGTATGCAGAGGGCCATGGTGCCCACTTGCACCCTGTAGTTAGTTCAGTTGCATTGTGGATACAGGAGCTGTTCCTTCTCTGTCTTTCATCCCCCAGACTGGTCCCGGGGAAGGGATGTTGGCCTTGGCCAGAATACCTGTACCTAGGGAGCAGCTCTCAGTTGGGGATTGAGATACTCATGGCCAGCAATTTTTTGTTCCACATGTTTGAGTTCAGATTTTCTGGTTAGTCACCCCTGGGGTCTTAAAAGGAGAAAAGCTTTAGTTCTCTGTCCCAGCCGCTGTGGGGATTGGGTGTCTAGCCCCTCAGAGACCATGATCTTCCTGCTCCAAGGGATAGGAACCCCCATTCCCAGCTCAGATTGAACCCCTGGGCCCTGACACTCTTCTGTTTGTTATTCTAGGAGACACTCTTCTAGCCATCCGGGCTCCTTCTGGCACCAGCTTGGAGGTGCCCATCCCAGAGGTGGGTGCTCAGCTCAGGCAGGCGGGGTTGGCTGAGGGCGGGTGCTGGCTGTGGAGCCCGATAAGTCTCGGGTGGAGCGGGTAAGGGGGAGGCCTGAGGTTTCTCCTAGGGTTATCTAGGAGAATGGACAGCCTGGGATGAGAGAGGACACTGTGGCTCAGGGTCAGGCAGGGGCCAAGTCTGCTTCCAATTCCACCTGCCTCACACCTCTAGGGCCTCAATGGGCAGAAGAAGTACCAGATTCATCTGAAGAGTGTGAGTGGTCCCATCGAGGTGCTGCTGGTGAACAAGGAGGCATGGAGCTCGCCGCCTGTGGCAGTGCCTGTGCCACCCCCTGAAGATCTGCTCCAGAGCCCATCTGCGCTCCCCACTCCTCCACCTCTGCCCAAACCTGCTGTGGCCCTGCCCCAGGAGGCCTCCCACCCAAGCAGTCCCCAGGTGACCAGCACCACCACCACCATCTGTGTCCCTGCTGGCATCGAAGCCCAAGGGATGGCCAGTCCAGCCGCTGAGATCATAGGTGAGGCGTGATGGTCATCTGGTGATGGGGTGATCTCTGGGGCCCAAGGGGCAATACCTCTTTTGTGGGATGCTGTGCTCAGAAGAGACCTTGTGGAGGTTGTCCTTTCCTGGCCCTTGGCTGGCCTCCCCTTGCTGCGACAAGGGAGCCTTTTTCTATTTTTAAAAAATACGTTTTTGTTGATTTCAGAGAGCGGAAGGGAGAGGGGAAGAGAGAGAGAAACAAAAATGATGAGGATCATGGATCAGCTGTCTCCTGCACGCCCCCTCCTGGGGATTGAGCCCACAACTCAAGCATGTGCCATGACTGGGAATTGAACTGTGACTTCCTGGTTCATTGGTTGGCCCTTAACCACTGAGCCACACTGGCGGGACAATGAGAACCTTTTTTTTAACGGAACCTTGACTGTGTGAAGGGACATTGGTGGTGGTAGTTTCCCCCAGATCCACCTGTTTGGCTTGCCTTGGCAGCCTCTGTCTCAGGCCTCATGCCCCTGTGTCCTGCAGTGCCTCGTTTCCAGATGACCTTTTCGGGGGCGACTGGCAGTACTAACTCTCCTTATGCCTGGGAACCAGGGCTGTAGTCATCCTGGTCGTGAGTTCTAGCACAGCTGGTTTCAATATTCCACTTCCTGCCCCAAGTGACTGGGTTTGGGCCATGTGGTTGCAGTGAGTGGCGGTCCCGGATCTGATAGCAAGGACAGTGGTGAGCTCAGCTCACTCTCGCTGGGCCCGGCAGCCCTGGACACCCGGCCACTGCAGTCGTCTGCGCTGCTGGACAGCAGCAGCAGCAGCAGCAGCAGCAGTAGCAGCAGCAGCAGCAGCAGTTCATCTGGACCCAACCCTTCTACCTCCTTTGAGCCCATCAAAGTGGATCCCACAGGTGGTGAGTTCTTGTCTCATTGGGAGCAAGGAGAATCCAGCCTCAGCCAGTTTTGGGTCAGAAACAGAATTTGGGCCAGAAACCCAGTTCTCCTATCTCCTCAGCCAGAGCTAGCCAGCATGAAGGCCAGTCCTTGCTGTCAACCCTGCCTAGACCTGAGCTCTGCCAATGAGAGTGAGGAGCTTGGCCTCCCTCTGGTGCCCCTTTGTCCCTCTTATTGGTCTGACACAGGACTCCCTGGCCCTCTCTCAAGCCCTGCCTGCTTCCCTTGGACTTAGGTCTCAAGAAGGTGGAAGCACTGTCTTGGGGAAGGAGCTGTGGTATGGCCCTCAGGCTCCTTCCCCAGAGAGGTGATGCTATCTGCCTGGAGTTCCATCTCCATCCTGTGCCTTGAGTGCTTGCTTTTTCCAGGACTCATTCTCCTCAGCCCACAAGCACCGCTCCCACTAAATGACACGTTGCCCTCTGCGTATCGCTCTCTCACTTTCCCTGTCTCCTCTCTGTCCGGACTCCGAAAAAGTCGTCTTCACTCCACTTCATATGTTGGGTGCTCACCCTTCGGGCTGCAGCAGTCAGGATTTCTGCACCCGCCTCACACCCATGCTCTTGGTACCCACCCCTGACTGCCAGCTCCAGCGGGTTTCGAGGCCGATGTGCTCTGCTGCTCTTGCTTCATATTGATGCTTTCTTCTTCCTCTGGCTTTAATCAGACCAGTTCTTGGCTCCTCTCCCCAGCTCCCCTTCTGGCCTCTCCCTGGGATTCCTTAACCATTGACACTTCCTGGGTCTCTATCCCATTCCACACCTGCGGAAGGCTAGATGAGCCCACCTCCGTCTGGCCTAGATCTTTTGCCTGAACTCCATCCTTGTGTCCACGTGCCTTCCTCTGCACATCCAATGTGTTCTCAACTGAAACTTGCTTTTCCAGTTCCAGCTGCTTCTACTCCTCACCTCACATCACCTAAGTGAGTCCTATTCTGGATATCTCTTATATCCCCAACACTCAGGGTCACTGCCAGCCACCTCTCCCAAATCCTTCAGCATCCTCTTTACCTCAACTGACGAGAGTCTGTCTGAAACACAGCCTGGCTGGCATTCCTCTGTTTACAAAAGCACCTTTAATGGCTTCCTAAGGCCTGCTGGGTAAAATCAGAGCTCTCAAACATAGCCTGTGACATCCTGGTGATCAGCCAGCCACGGCACTCCTCCCAGCTTAATTTTCCTCTGCTTTACATGTGAATCCTCCCAGTGAGACTTTTGTAACAGGGTTGTCACCTGAGGCACCAGCCTCTGTTGAAGTGTCTGCCTCCTCTGTCAGGTAATCCTGCTCAGGTGTGGTGTCTGAGCCTGGCACCAAGGAAGTGCTCAGTAAGGGCAAGGATGGACAGGGCGTTCTTCAGGCAGGATATCCTGCATCAGACAGGGTATCTTCCATCACACAGGATATCCTCCCTCAGACAGGGTGTCCTCCCTCAGACAGGGTATCCTCTGTCAGACAGGGTGTCCTCCCTCAGATAGGGTGTCCTCCATCAGACAGGATATCCTCCCTCAGACAGGGTATCCTCCCATCAGACAGGGTGTCCTCTGTCAGACAGGGTATCCTGCATCAGTCAGGGTATCCTACATCAGTCAGTGTATGCACACTGGACCCAGAAAGGGAGTGGTCCCTTCTGCAGCACTTCTGAGTTACAGGGAGTACCAGTCTCCTGCAGTGAGCCTTTGGTATCCTGGACTCCGCACTGATGAATTTGTGTCAACAAGGGAGACCAACAGATAAGCCAGCCTGGTTTAAGGCAGGGCCTTCCTTTCACAGCTTTGTGGAACCCCTGGGTGGATGGTATAGGAAATGAGAAAGTTGGGGGCTAAAGTGGGACCAGGCTGGACCTCTGTGCCCTTGAGCATGGCTTTCTTGTCTTTCAGTTCTGGAACTCCCCAAAGAGCTGTCAGAAATTTTTGATCCCACGCGAGGTAGGGCTGTGTTCCTCCTTGGGGCTGGGAAAGGGGCACAGCTTACTGGGTCTGGCAGCTTCTGAGGACCCATGGTTGTGATTGGTACCTGGGCATAGTGTAAAAGTTTCTGATGCGGGCTTTGGGAGGTCCCCGTCGTGGGCTTGGGTGGGTGGAGAGGCAGGAGCCAGAATGTGAGTGAGGCCTCCCTTCTTCCCCAGAGTGCATGAGCTCGGATCTACTGGAGGAGCTGATGTCCTCAGAAGGTGGGTGGCCCAGGAAGGTGGGGGGTGGGTGTGAACAGGGGGTCGGGCGGCTATTGGGTGGGGCCTTGGCCTTGGCCTCAGGCCTCAGCCTGGTGCTCTCTGCAGTGTTTGCCCCCCTTCTCCGCCTTTCTCCGCCCCCCGGAGACCACGATTACATCTACAACCTGGATGAGAGTGAAGGTGTCTGTGACCTCTTTGATGTGCCTGTTCTCAACCTCTGACTGACGGGGACATGCCCTGTGTGGCTGGGACACAGACTGTCTAACCTGAGGGCTGCTTGGGGACCCCCTACATCTCAGCCGTACACACAGCTTGAGAGCCACAGACTCCGGCTCACTGCACAGTTCTGGCCACAGCTCCCACTCCTGCACCGGCACCCGCATTGTGCTGGGCGAGCAGAGGGGCTCAGCTCCCTCCGCGGTGGAGCCACAATATTTGCTTCTCCTTTTCTGGAGCCTCCCCCCACCTGTGTCCTTCCTGTGCCCTCCCTGACTACTGCCACCCAGTGTCAGAGTGAGGAAGCATTCACTCTGTAGGGCAGCTTGTCTACCCCCCCCCCCTTGCCCTGTTCCTGCCAGCTCTTCCCCCTCCCAGGAGGAAAGCTGGGGTGGGGCTGGGCACTTGCCAGCACCACTCCTTGCCTCCATCTCTCTCCACCCCTTGACCCTAGAGCTCCCCCTGGACCTCTCCTGCCTCCCTTCTGCCTGGCCCTTAGCCCTGACCACCTGTAGGTGATGTTGGGGGAAGGGGTGGGTGCTGATAGGAACAGAGGTCTCTAGCTAGGAATTTGGGCAGGTGAGTCCCTGAGGGTTGACCCAACCTCCCTCCTCCCTATAGCCCCTCCTGTTTATTCATTTACCCTCATTAGAGCCATTTGCAGAGATTTAGAAAGATTTGCAGTAACGAATGGATTCCTATATTAAAGATTATTTTTATACTTTTTTGCAACAAAAGGAAATTGTAATATTTGTACAGTGTCCAAGTGAATAAAGATCGTGCCTAAGGCTATCTCTGGTCTGTTTTTTTTTTGGGGGGGGCCTCTCCCTGGGACGGCTGGATTGGTGGTGGGACTGGGTGGGTCGCCTTGCTGGAGGGGAGGTGTGGCGGAGCAGCTGCCCGCCCTCCCGCCTGCTCCACCTGCCGCACCTTGGGGCGGGGCGGGGCCGCCTCTGCGGGGCGGGGCGGGCCAGGCGCCGGCCTCCCACCCCCGGACTCCAACCCGGAACTTGCCTCGCTCCCTCGGGAAAGCCGGCGCCGGGCCCGGAGTGGGCGCCCGGGCCGTGAGTGCGGGCCACGGGCTTCAGGCCGCGGGACAGAGGAGCGCCCTCGTCCCCAGGGGCCCAGACCCAGTGCGCCCTTGGCCTGAAGTTGCAAGGTGGAAGGTACAGGTGTCCCGCCCCGGCTGGGCCATGGCGCCCCCTCGGGACGTGGTGAAGATCGCCGTTCAGAAGCGTGACGCCATCCCGCAGCTCATCCAGCTGGACCAGGTCACCCGGGCGGTCCGGCCAACATCGCCCCACTGCCCACCTCTGGGTTGTCCTCTTCCCCTCGAAGCAGCCCCCCCTATCCCTTCCCCATGTTCTCCCCCTCTCCTGGCCCGCGAGTGACATCTTCTCTTACAGGCAAAGCCCCTGGCCGCTGTGCTGAAGGAGGTGTGCGACGCGTGAGTGCGGGCCTGGCCGGCCAGGGGGTGGGGGAAAGTTGCCGGGAGGGGGCGCCCCTTTCCTGCCTCACTAAGCCTCGTCTGCCCACAGGTGGAGTCTGGCTCACTCTGAACGCTATGCCCTGCAGTTTGCTGATGGGCACAAGAGATACATCACAGAGAATGTGAGTCCCTTCTCCCCTTTAGCCCCTTCTAACTCCCGATTCCTGACCCTGATTCCTCAGACCCCTCATCCTCAGGGATCTCTCATTGAGTTCCAAATCCTCCCTCATTGACAACCCCAATTAACCAATCCTGAGAGCCCTTCTTCTCTCCTTTGTCTTCTCCAGAACCGCTCAGAGATCAAGAACGGCAGCATCCTGTGCCTCAGCACCGCCCCAGTAATGCCCCTCCTGGTCCCGCCCTCATTCCCTGCCCCGCTGGCTGTTGTGCCTCCTTCTGTTCCCCTGTGCCTCTCCCTGCCCCAGGTCCGGAGGCCCCACTCACATCCCTGCAGTGCTCCACCTAGTGGGCACCCCGGTCTCTGCACCTCCAGTTCCCACTTCTTACCTCCACCCAGCCTCCTCACCTTCCCTTCCGCCCCTATCCCTGCCAGGACCTCCAGGCTGAGCAGCTGTTGGGTGTGCTGCAGAATGGGAGTCGTGAAGGGCGCCGGGAAGCGCTGCAGCATCTCGTCCTGCTTGCTCCAGACATGACCTTTGCGCAGGAGGTCATCAGCCGTGAGGGGCTTCAGAAGCTAGGCACCATCATTGAGGAAGGGGATGAGTGAGCATTGGGCTGTGGTGGGTGGTGGACATGGGGGCTGGGATCCTGACGGGCCCTGCTCAGCCCCAGATATTCCCCAGCCTAGGAGAGGAGCTGGCCCTCGCACTGCAGGTCTTCTTGGAGCTCATGGAGCACGGCGTGGTGTCCTGGGAGACACTCAGTGTCCCCTTTGTTAAGAAGGTGGGTGAGCCGGAACCGGTTTGGCTCAGTGGATAGAGCATCAGCCTGTGGACTGAAAGGTCCCGGGTTCGATTCCTGTCAAGGGCATGTACCTTGGTTGCGGGCACATCCTCAGTAGGGGCTGTGCAAGAGGCAGCTGATTGATGATTCTTTCCCATCAATGTTTCTAACTCTCTATCCTTCTCTCTTCCTCTCTGTAAAAAAATCAATAAAATATATATTAAAAAAAAAAAAAAGGTGGGTGAGCTGAAACTGATTTGGCTCAGAGGATAGAGTGTCGGTCTGCGGACTGAAGGGTCCCAGGTTCGATTCCGGTCAAGGGCATGTACATTGGTTGCAGGCACATCCCCAGTAGCGGGTGTGCATGAGGCAGCTGGTCGATGTTTCTAGCTCTCTATCCCTCTCCCTTCCTCTCTGTGAAAAATCAATGAAAAAAAAAAAATATATATATAAAGAAGGTGGGTGGGCTTTTCTAGGGATAGCAGGTAGGGGCAGTGGGGTGGTATTAGGATCTGGCCATGCATGCTGACAACCCCTACCCCTCTTACAGGTGATACGCTATGTGAACATGAACCTGATGGACGCATCTGTGCAGCCCCTGGCCCTCAGGCTGCTGGAAAGCGTGACCTTGAGCAGCCCTACCCTGGGTCAGCTGGTCAAGAGTGAGGTGCCCCTGGACAGGCTGCTGGTACACATACAGGTGTAAGTGTCCGGGGGTGGGGCACTGGTGAAGGGAGTGGGGCCCGATCCTGGATGGCCGATAGAGCCCTCTTTTTGTCCCAGGATGAATCAGCAGCTGCAAACCAAGGCCATGGCACTGCTGACAGCCTTGCTGCAGGGGGCCAGCCCTGCTGAACGTAAGGTGGGTGTTCATCTGGTGGATGTCCATCTTGTGGATGGATGAGGGGCAGGAGCTGGTGAGCGCTGTGCTCTACCGCGGGCCTAGGGTGGGTGCTCACGGTGAGGCTCCGTCACCTAAGCCCCCTTCCCGCCCACTCAGCACATGCTGGACTACCTGTGGCAGAGAAACCTTCGCCAGTTCATCTATAAGGTAGGGAGCCCTGGGCCAGGCAGGCCCACCCACTCCCCCTCCCCCCGGGAGCCCACGCCCACACCCATGGACCCGCCGTCCTCCAGAACATCATCCACAGTGCAGCCCCCCTGGGCGACGAGATGGCTCACCACCTGTACGTGCTGCAGTCCCTCGCCCTGGGGTTGCTGGAGCAGCGCATGCGGACACCGCTGGACCCCTACAGCCAGGTGGGTGCCTTTCTGATACAGAGGCTGGGGGCAGCCGGAGGGTGCCTTGAACCTGTGATGGTGACCACCCCCAAATAACGACCCTCAGGAGCAGCGGGAGCAGCTGCAGGCCCTGCGCCAGGCGGCCTTCGAGCTGGAAGGGGAGTCTCCCAGTGCCGGGGGGCTGAGTGCTGACCGGCGCCGTTCCCTCTGTGCCCGGGAGTTCCGCAAACTGGGCTTCACCGTGAGTGACCCTGACGCAGCTCCCCCCCCCCCGCCCCTGCCCCAACCCAGGGCTGCCGCTGTTCCGGAGGACAAACGGGTTCACGTCCTCAGCCGTCCGTCCTGTCCTCTTCCCCCAGAACAGCAACCCCGCACAGGACCTAGAGCGCGTGCCCCCCGGCCTGCTGGCCCTGGACAACATGCTCTACTTCTCCCAGCATGCCCCCAGTGCCTACAGCCGGGTCAGTGTTGGGGTGTGGGCAGAGCGGGATGCCTGCCTCTGATGGGTCCCCGTGGGCTTAGCTGTGACTCCCTGCCCCTTTGTCTGCTCTCACCCACCCCAGTTTGTGTTGGAGAACAGTAGTCGTGAGGACAAGCACGAGTGCCCCTTTGCCCGGAGCAGCATCCAGCTGACTGTGCTGCTGTGTGAGCTGCTCCGTGTCGGGGAGCCCTGTGAGTGGGGTTGGGCATAAGTGTGTCCGGGAACGGGGGACGGAAGGGCAGAGAGGGCCAGGGGCTTCACATACTTCCTCCCTGAGCCCCTCCTGCCCCCCTGCTCCAGGCTCCGAAACGGCCCAGGACTTTTCGCCCATGTTCTTCAGCCAAGACCAGAGCTTCCATGAGCTCTTCTGTGTGAGCATTCAGCTTCTGAATAAGACCTGGAAGGAGATGCGGGCCACACAGGAGGACTTTGACAAGGTGGGTGGGTGGGGGGGGGTAGCTGGAGACCGGGGCCAGGGCAGAGGGCTATGCAGGGTAGGGGTCCAGAGCTCAGACCCTGAACTGAGCCTGGGTGGCCCCAGGTCATGCAAGTGGTCCGGGAGCAGCTGGCCCGCACGCTGGCCCTGAAGCCCAGCTCCCTGGAGCTCTTCCGGACCAAGGTGAACGCACTCACGTACGCGGAGGTGCTGCGACTGCGCCAGACTGAGCGGCTGCATCAGGAGGGCACACTGGCCCCTCCCATACTGTGAGTTGGTGGGAATGGGTCCCAGTCCTAGTTCCCACTTTCCCTGGGACCCCATAGGCCTCGTCCCCGTCAGTTTCGGTCAGCAAACCCCCTCCCCCCACCCAGGGAGCTTCGGGAGAAGCTGAAGCCAGAGCTCATGGGCCTGATCCGCCAGCAGCGTCTGCTCCGCCTCTGCGAGGGCACTCTCTTCCGCAAGATCAGCAGCCGGAGACGCCAGGGTTGTTGAGTAGGCAGGGGGCAGAGAGGGTCTGGCCTGGGTCAGGGCCCCTCTGCTCACTCCTTCCCTCTTCCCCTTGCTGCCCACAGACAAGCTGTGGTTCTGCTGCCTGTCCCCCAATCACAAAGTGCTGCAGTACGGGGACGTGGAGGATGGTGCCAACCCACCTGCCCCCGAGAGCCTCCCAGAACAGCGTAAGGAGGGCAGGGACGGGGACAGGACACCTGCTTCCCCAGACCGCCCCGTGCCCCAGGATGCCTGGGGCCCCGGTGTTCAGCCCAGTCTTCTTCCCGCAGTCCCAGTGGCTGACCTCAGGGCACTACTGACCGGCAAAGACTGCCCCCACGTCCGGGAGAAAGGCTCAGTGAAGCAGAACAAGGTGAGGGCAGGGGGGTCTGGGCTCCTTCCCACTCGTCCTGCCCTGCCCCCTGCTCAGTGCTCGTGGTCCCCTTCCTCCCCAGGACCTCTATGAGCTAGCTTTCTCAGTCAGCTATGACCACGGGGAGGAGGAGGCGTACCTCAACTTCATCGCCCCCTCCAAAAAGGAGGTGAGTGTGAGGGCAGGCTGAGCTCGCATTGGGCAGGCGGGCAGGGGAAGAGACTGGCAGATCCTCATGGAGCCGTCCCCGCCCCCAGTTCTACCTGTGGACGGATGGGCTGAGCACCCTGCTGGGCAGTCCCATGGGCAGTGAGCAGACACGGCTGGACTTGGAGCAGCTGCTGACCATGGAGACCAAGCTGCGCTTGTTGGAGCTGGAGAACGTGCCCATCCCTGAGCAGCCACCCCCGATTCCCCCGCCCCCCACCAACTTCAACTTCTGCTATGACTGCAGCATCACGGAACCCTGATAGGGTGGCCGAGGGCCACAGCAGCTGCCACTGTGGTGGCCGTGAAGGGTGAAATGTGCAGCAGTGCAGACACCGTGATCTGCAGAAGCTACAGCAGGAATAAAGTCTGCTTGGCTCCTGGGTATGTGTCGAGCCAGCTGTGAACCAAGCCTGCCTTAGAACTCGGTTGGTGCAGGAGATGTGGGCATCAGGCCAGGGCCACAGCTTGGGGCCACAAACCTGGGCAGCCACAGCACAGCCTCCCTCAGTGCTGGGCCTGCAGGCAGGGATGGCCTCTGTTTGGGAGGCACCAACCGAGAGAGTGCTGCTGCTGCTACCGGCCAGGTGAGGGCGGAGGCACAGCCCCAAGTGGACGCCTTCCTGGGCAGCAATGATAGGGGCCTAATTGGGAGCCATGTTTGCAGAGGCCTCCGAGAGTCTCAGCTCAGTCCTGAACCTTGTTTGGCTGCCTTGTGTCTGCTGTGGGACGTGCAGGCCCTCTGGTGAGAGCAGGAAAGGGGAGATGTGAAGCTGGGCCTGCCTTGTGTTGAGGGGCAGATTTAAGATTCCAGAATACATCTCCAGTGGCGAGAGGATATTCTAACCAGAGGGAATTCAGTGCAGGGAGCCTGGGTTCTGAGGAAAACCCACTGCAGGAGGGTGGGCCCAGCTGGAGGTCATGCTCAGAGGCCCTTGTCAGGGACCTCAAGCCTCTGAGGCCAAGAGGAGCACACCTGCCCACAGGATAGACTGAAAGCTTCACCACCCACTGACTTCCTTTTCCACTCTTCTTGTTACCTCTTCCCCAGCACCTCCTCAAATGTCTTTTTAACAATGTGAACCATCAACATGCTGCCTTGAAAAGTGATGAGATGACATCTCCTTTGGAGAATGTACTGAGCTTCCCCTCCCCCGGCCCTGCTTCTGACTCAGGCACCCGGAGGCTTCCCACCACGTTTGGAATAGTCTGCTGTTTAGTGGAAGTAGGGGTGGGGATCCCAGATGCTGTGAAGCCTCCCAGTACTCCTTGTCCATGGTCCAGTCCCTTGTGCAGGCCACCCTCATCTTGACAAGAACCTCCTGGCTTCCTGTCTCCAGTCTTCTCAATACCAGCTACCTGAGCTGTTCTAGCAAACATGAAGCTGATCTGATCACACACACTACCCCCATGCTGTATTCGTCAGTATCTCCCTATTGTCCAGGGGGGGATGGTCATGGTACCATGATGGGCAGAGTTGAGATGGGTTGAAGACATGTGGTTTAGGCCCTGCACAGGGTTCTTGGTGCTTGGTGCCCTCATCCTCCCTGCACCCTATTGGGGCTTAGACACCCCCTACCCCAGTGTCAGCTCTGGCCTGCCATGTGCATTACCCAGTCCCTTCAGCCTGAGTGCCCCCTTCTCTCTGCTCACTTTTTCTTCTTTGAGTCCTTCCTTGACCTCCTTGACCTACCAGGCTTATGTCATGACTCCCCTGGGTCCAGTCCCAGGTGCTGTTGCTCTATTTGTGCTATTTGTGCACACCCTGCACACAGCTGTCCCTGCCTGTTGGCTGATTTGCTTCTCCAACTGCCCCGGAGGCTGGGAGAGCTTCACCTCCTCTGAATCCCCGCAAAAAGCAGGCACTCAGGCAGCCAGTTGGCTGCTCCTAGAACTGATGGACAGTGCAGGTGGACATCTGGAGGGTCCGACAGGCTTTCTGAGAGCTGCTGTTGAGAATTCACTGGTGCTGTTTAAGAGGTTGGACTAGATGGCCTCTAAGAACCCTTCCTACCCAGAAAGGCTATTTGATATCCTCTTTCTTCATCCCCCTCTCCGCCCCCCAAAAAAGACCACCTCATGGACTCTGGCATCTTTAGCCAGTATGTTGCTGGGGTCTGGCTGGGCCCAGTGCACACAGATGTGCCTGGGCTACAGGACTTGCCTGGGAGCTCATGCTGGGAGAGGCCTCCAGACATTTGGAATCTCCCACCATACGGGGAAGCTGGGACCTGTTTAGGGGCTCCTATGGGACATTGGGCCACACCCGAGGAAGTTGTCTGGTGTTTCCTCCATTGTCCCTGGACAGGGCTGGGCTGCTTCAACTGAGGTTGGGAGGGGAGGGGCCCTTTAGTTTGAGGACTTCAGATAAAGAGGTAAAATCTGGAATTTTTAATGTTTGGGTTTACAACAAAGATAAAGTTCAGTGCTGGGTATCTTTATCTGAAGATACTGGGTAGGGGACTGGGAACTACTAGTGTAGGGAACAAGGCAGGGCACAGGCCTTGGAAGTAGGCAGGGCAAGAGGGGGGTCTGCTCCTCTCCAGCATCCGGCCCAGGCACCGATGGGCCTGGGGCATCCAGACCCAGGCCTGGCCAGGAGATCAGGGGCCTGTGGCAGCCTCATGTAGTTGGCAAGAAGCCCCTGCTGGGCTGTGGGGCAGACGGGTAGGAAGCACCCCGGGCTGCCCTGGATCAGCACCACCTCCAGTCCTTGCAAAGGTGTTTGTAGCTTAGGGAAGGGGCCCTGGGGTCTGTAGCAGAGGGAAACAGGAAGCAGCGACTCAAACTCCAGGTCAAGAAGCCAAGGCTAGGGACATGGGCTACCGGGCTGCTTACTGACCTGGCCTCAGAGTGTTAGGGTCAGGTCAGCCCCTCCCACGAAGCGGGACTGGATGCAGATCACCTGGGGCAGTTGGGCTTGGAATTGCCTCACGGCAGCCATGCTAATACCAGGGCACATTGCGACATCTAACCTCTGGATCTGCTTGCACGCCTGCCCAATGGTATCCAGTGTTCTGCAGGAAGACCCCTGTGTGAGTGCCGGGTCCGAGGTGGGCCCCAGCCCAGCCCAGCCCCGCCCCTGCACTGGCATTCTGGGACACTCACTGCTCTGTGAGCCGACTGCAGCTGGACAGGTTGAGGTGTTGCAGCCTAGGCCAGCAGCTGGCTGCCTGGGCCCAGCCCTCATCACTGAGGAGGCTGCAGTGACTCAGCGCCAGGCGCTCCAGGCTAGGGCAGCCCCTGGCCACAGCCACCAGGCCCTTATCTGTGAGTGCTGGCAACAGGCTCAGTGACAGCTGCCTCAGCTGGGGAAAGTGGAGCACCTGCAAGGATGGAGGATGAGGGGTAGATGGCACTGGAGCCAAGGGCTGGGGGCTCTTCCCCACCCCCAGCAAAAGGAGAGGCCATACACAGCAGAAGCCAATAAAGAACATTTTCTAAGCAAAAAGTGGGTGGAGGGCCCAGGCCCCTGGCTCCAGCCCTGGACCCTCAGCCTATCCACACCCTCAGTCCCACACCTGTGCCAAACTGGCATCAGTCAGCTTGCTGCAGGCTGTGAGGTCCAACTCCTGCAGGGCCTGCAGCATGAGCAGGGAGGGGCCCTGTGGCTGGGGAGAAGGGTCCACGGGGCCTGACGCCTGCTGCTCCAGCTCTTGGCGTGGCTGTAGGAAGAGGCCCCTGCTCAGTTCCTCCTGAGTTTGGCCCTCAATTGCTCCTAGAGAGAGACTCAGGAGGGCAGGTGAGCCCAGGGACCACCCGCCCTTCATGACCTTGAGGTTCCCACACCTGGGCTTTCTGCGCTGGCTCCTCAGGTGGCTCCCCTAGCCCCAGAAGCCCCCAGTCACGAAGCTCCTTGCACCAGGCCAGGCGCAGGACTGAGAGGGGAGTGAGGTAGGTGCAGATGGCCTGCAGGGTCCGGTTGGTGAGGGCCACACAAGAGGATAAGTCTAGCACTCTGAGACTCGATCCCAGCACGGGGATCAGGGAGAGCACCGAGGTGTCCTAGGAGCAAAGTGGAGAAGGGAGAGAGCAATGGAACGATGGCATGTGTCTATGTTGCCATGCTTGGCAAGGGTCACTAAGAAGGTTCTGTCCAAGGGTTTGGCCCGACAGGCAATAAGGAGCTAGCAGGGGGCCCACAGAGGGAGGTCATGATGTCCCTGTGCTGATGAGGGTCGGAGTAGACACGGAGAGCCATGGGGCTAGGACACCAGGAGAAGTTTGCTGGAGAATAGAGCTTGGCAGGGGCAGGAGAGATGCTGGTAGAAATGTCTCAGGTCTCTGCCCTGACTGTGCTCCCAGTCCCTGCTGAAGGGGTGGGCTGAGGCTGCCCTCTGGCCACAGCTTATTGGACTAGTGCTCCCTCTTGATTGTGAAGCAGAACTGTGAGGTCACAGTGAGCACAGGCTGCTACCTGGCAGAAGCAGGCGTGGTGGGGGTTGTGGGAGCTAAGGGCGGAGTAGAATAAACTGGTTTGTAGAGACACTGGTTTGTAGAGGCTCCAGGGTCTAGCTAAGAGTCAATAGTGTGTAAGGAAGATGGAGGGGGGCAGGGGAAGAGAGGCGCTGTGGGGAAAGGGTTAAGAGGCAGTTTTCAGGTTGGGAATACCCTGGTCACTTTGACAGATTGAAGGAATAACCCACTAAACAAGACTGCCATTGCTAAGACAGGGATGACGCCCAGGGCGACAGGGCTGAGCCCTATTGAAGAGACTGACTTCAGACAGAAAGTGACTCTGCTGCCCCCACATCACATTACCTCCCTCGATGCCCCTCCCCATGGGACTCAATTCTGTCACCTCCTTCTCTAGTCTCCCTAGCCTCTGGAACATCCGCTTTTAGTGCTCCCGACTGCAGTGGTCACTGAGCGCTTGGCATGCGCAGTGGATGCCACCTCATGGGCTGGGCCTCCCGTTACCCGAGCCCACAGGGGTAGCTGCCAGGAGGGTGCTGATGGTGTTGTCTAGGCCCCTTTCCTCTTCCAGAATGTGTTCCAAGTTCAGTTCTAACTACTTGGACCCAAACACCAGGCAGTTTCCCCCTCGTGCCACACCTCCTCCTCTCCAGCCCTGGCCCTGGGGAGGGAGGAAGGGCAGGTGGCTCACCTTGAGTGAGGAGCAGTAGGCCAGGCTGAGAAAGGCCAGTGGGGGTGGAGCTCTGCGCACTGAGCCCAGCGCCTGGGCCAATGCCCGCCCGCTCACTAGGCAGCACTCAGCCATGTCCAGGCTCTTCAGCTCCCGCAGGCCCCCGAGGGCTGTGCA